CCCCCCCCCCCCCCCCCCCCCCCCCCCCCCCGTGATTGCTACAGGTACAACCGCCACAAGCAGAGCACGCCAGGGAGGAGGCCTCCTTCTTCCGGGGGAGAAGACGCCCCTTTCCTGACAGTGTCCCCGGGCCTTGCCGACACTTCCATGTCAGTCAGCAGCAGCTCCGACGCGGTCACCGCCAGGAGCAGCACGGGTTCGTCCACCAGCGAGCAGCCGCTGCCCTCGTCAGCAAGGGCAGGGGCGGCAAGAGAGGAGCGCGGGGGAAGCGTCTTCGCCGCCGCAGCGGCAGCGGCGGGCGCGAGCGACCGCGTCGCTGCGGGCAGCAGCGCGAAGAAGGCGGCCGTAGCGAACGGGGGGGCTGCTGCTGCTGCTGCTACTGCTGCTGATGCGGCGGCGGCGAAGGAAGCCAAGGCGGGTAGTGCGCCAGAACTAAACGGTGGGGGCGAAGCAGCAGCGGCAGATGGAGGTGCGGCGGGCTCTAGCGGGGCGGATGATGTGGCCGACGCCATCGCTCGAGCCACGGCCGTGTTCGCGGTGCCGGCGCCGATCAAGGGGAAGTCTGCTGTTGCTGCTGGCGAGGCGGGCGACAACGTGTTCGCGAAGCCCTTGCCGAAGACCGCCAGCGGCGGCAGCGGCGGGAAAGGAGGTGGCACGGGCGGCGATGGCAAGACGTTCGGGAGGACGGCTCGCGGAAGCAGCGCGGGCTCGACCCTGATGAAGGGCACCGCTTCGTCGACCTCGCGCCTGAAGCTGAGCGTTTCCTCGGCGTTGGAGGAGAATCGGAGCGGGTCCACGCCGCGCTCGGCTTCACGGCGACCATCTACAGGTGAGGCCCAGTGGATCGGCTCTTACATACCGCTGTTTGTTTTGGCGCGGTTGCTGTGTTTCACGGTGGAGATTTAATTTCGGGAGTCGGTTGCGTGAGTGGTGACTGCTGTGCCGGTACGTGAATTTATATTCCCGTTGCATCAAGGTGATGGAGGTTTGTTTTCTGATTCCTTTCGCGTGAGTGTTTTCTGCCGCGCCGGTTTGTGAATTAGGTATGCCCGTTGCGTCAAGGTGATGGAGGTTTGTTTTCTGATGCCTTTTGCGTGACTGTTTTCTGCCGCGCCGGTTCGTGGAGTATGCCCCGTTGCGCAAGTGTCATTTCGGGGCGCAGGTAAGCGCGCAGCGGGGAAACCGCTAGCCGGGTGGTCATGACCGGGCGGGCAGCTTACATCCTGCGTAGTTTCATCAAGAGCCCAGAATCGCCATGAATCCATTGCGCTCTCCCTTCCCCCCCGACCCCAGGCGTAACTCCAAGGTCAACTTCGACCCCGCGGGGCTTTGGGTCCGGCTCCTCTCGAGAAGCAGTCCCCCCATCCCCTTCTAACTCGCGGCTTGCCCGCCCCAGCTCCTTCGCCGTTTCGGGGAGGCCCACGACGAAACCTAAGACCCCGCGCACACGGAGCTCGCTGTCCGGGCCGGTGGGCCCCGCGGCGGCCGCCGCCGCCGCTGCCGCCGCCGCCGCCGGTTCTATTTCCAGCAGGAGAAGTACGGTGCAACCACCATCCCCCGCGCAAGGCGGCGGTAGCGGCGTAGGCGCCTTAAGCTCTGCCAGGTCGATTACCGGTGTCGGCGGTAGGAAGGGATGGCTGGGTGAGAAGTCCCGAGGCAGCGTTTCGGGGGCAAGCGGCGGTAGAGGGTCATCGGCGGTAACGCCGGGCGCGGGCACCGGCGGGGGTTCCGGCGTCGGTCAGAAGAAGGCGAGCGGCGGCGACGGGGAGCAGCTTTCAAGGGCGCAGATCGCGTTGAACAGGCACCAGGCGCGGATGGATCGGATCCGCGAGAAGCGCGAGGAGAGGATGGGGAACAAAGAATCGTCGTCTTGAGCGCTGTTTTTGCCTCCCTGCTGGGTTAATACATGTGAGCCCGACGGTGCCTTAGCTGTCGCTGGGTCGCACGCGTGTTGTGCGCTTTGTTTCGGCGGCACCAGTTGGGGGCTGACGCAAACAGGTGGGGGCGAACCCAAGCATTTGCCATGGCGGCGTGTGGTCATAGAACGTCGCATACCTACGAAGTTGAGACGCTGAGGATCTAACTCGTGGCTGCTCGCACAGTACCAAGCGCCACCACCTTGAGGTGTCCGGCGAGTTGCATGAAGGGTAACGGGCACCCCGCGATTTTTTTGTTGGAACTCTTGTGCCTTCCTGAGCCCATTTCCTTGCAGGTAGGTGCATGGCAGCTTGTAAGTGCCCCTGTTCGTTCCTTCCTGAGTCCATTTCCATAGAAAGCATTTTGCAACATCCCGTCCCGTAGATTTCTGATCTGTTTAAGAGTACGTGGTTTGATCTTCTCCTTTTCTACAAGAGGCATTTCATCACCATTCGTGACTATCACCAAAAGCCATGGAGCAAGGAAAGAAGCGGTGGCCTGGTGTACCTTACCCGTGGGGCTTGTTTGCGGCGCCGTTGCCAACCGAAGGCAATCTCCCGGTCGGGTTGAGTCATTTTGAGCTACAGTGTAGGGACAGGGGGTTAAGAGTGGACGGGGCCGTCTGTTCGGGTGTAGTTTCGGTTAGTGGGCCGATCCCCTATTTGACGTCGTTTTCTGTTGTGGTTCATGTCTATCCGCCCTACCAGGCTGGATAGGAACTTGCGTGGCATGGGTTTCGACGACATGCGCGTTCGACGCACATCCCTGTGGAAGGGATATATTTCGAACCTTTTTTTGCAAGTCTGCGGAAGTAGCCAGGGTAGCTTGTACGCTTGTGCCTCGCGATTTTTTGTTGCTGTTGTGGGGAGTTGGTCGGTTGCAGATCCCAGGCCTTGCCACGCTAAAACATGTCCCTTCCTGCGTGGATTGTTGGCTTGTTTTGAACTGCTTGGGGCAGGCAACCGCATTTCGTATTTAATTCCGTTCCCGTTGCGATCGGTGTGTGATGCTGTGGTATAACAGGGAACAGGGATCGTTCGATTCTGCTTAGCTTCAAGGCTGGAGTGCTTGGGTTTGCCGTATGTTTTGACACTGCCTGTAATTGTGTCCACGATTGCTGTGTCCACAAAGTTGTGCTTGAGCTGTGATTGTGCTACACGCACACATTTGCTCTTGGTGTTCTGTGGTATCCTTTGATGTCGGGGGTGCAAGTTTTGCTCTCAGCACGCAATAGGGCTATGGCCCGTACATACACAAGCTGTAGACGTGTGCTGGTATTTTAGTTGTTAAAGGTAGGATGGTTTGCTTTGTAGGTAGACAGGTGTGCTTTTTGACGTATTTTTTGGTATCCGAGGATAACATAGCGACCGATGGGCTGCGGTCTAATGTCGGTTTTTGGTTGATGTGACTGAAGAATCCCGACTTCGACGTCGTCGCGCGGAAGACTTGAAGGCATGTTCCCGGGAGGAATTTTGCCCTATGTTGGTAGAAAATGCAACCGACGATAAACTAATGCAAAAATACATTGTAAATAATACTCCGTACTACATAACATTTGCTTTTCGCGGCGAATCCGGATTGGTGAGCCCTTGCGTTTCAGTCTGATGAGCCCGAGATTCGATCTTCCGTGCATTTCATCCGAAGGCTTGGGTTAGCAGATGTACGTGCGCAGCACCAAACTCAACACGTCAAGCGTTTGGGCAACTTTTGCTTCGTTGCCCGACAAGGGGTGTGCGCGCAGTTTAACGCCTCCCTGGAGCGCCAAAGAGGCATCGAGGTATCTACACAATCCGGGCTGCCTGTCTAAATCTGGTTTGTCCCAATTCCAAACCCTCTCGAAATTGATTGCCCATGGGATTGTAGCTTGGCTGTTCACCATGTCGATGCCGTTGATCAGTATCCAGTGGCAACCGGCCAGTTTCCTCTTTGCTGCCCACTGCGCCCACGGCTGCTGCAGGAATACGAGGGCACCCGATCGCCGCCGCGAGGTACGATGACGATACAGCCTCACGTTCATCCCTCTGCTCTTGTGCCTGATCGTGACCTCTCTTTCGGCTACGACAATCTGCCACCGTTGGGAACGTCACGCTGTTATCGCCGGTCACACGCCCATCCCCGGGGAGTGACCGCCCAACTTTCGGGGTCCTCGCAGGCACTCTGGAGCCACCGACGTCGATCCTGGCAAGATTGCGTTCTCCACCCCGAAGGCATGCTAGAGCATCATTTGGAGAGCAGTCAAACCAGTCGTTTCCTGTTCTTATCTGACCGGTTGGCGTAGGAGAAGTAATGCCTGGAACGTCACGTCTCGGCTTACGTGGTGGTGATATCCTCTCATCCCTTCGCTTCAATGCTTGAGCAATATGCCCACAGACGCTGAGAAAGCATGTTCAGCAAGTGATGAGAGTAGACGAGGGCGCGGGGTCGGAGATATGGGAGTTAGTTGTGTCTGTTGTGTTCTCGAGAAACCTTCTGACCCCCATCTTGCCGCCCGCTCCGAACTATTCGCAGAAAACATACGACCGTATCCCCTCATCGTTCCGAGAAGAAGGAGTGGGAGTATTAACAAGTTAAGAAACCTCCCACAAATCCATCCCACATGAAGTGCTACCAATCCTAAAATATGCATGTGCGTTGAATGGGCAATGCATGTGTGATGTTATCAATCTGATTGTTTTTCCGACAACGTGGTCGGGTGAACAACCCCTTTTGGCCGTTCATTCCTTTGGTCAAACAACAAGAGAAAATGCCACGGCGTTGGGCCAAAGGCAAAACGGATGCGTGTCGAGGGTAAATTAGCTACAGTAGGCGATCGCTCGCACCAAATTCTAATGTGGGCGTCGCACTACGGTTCAATACCAACGACCAACCCCCTGAGGGCATCGGAACCCAACATCACCGACACTCGACCCGCGTGTACTAGACGTCTATCGTTGCGGAGAGCATGAACGGGAGCACGCCGTTCGCTTTCTGCTGTTGCTCACTCTTCATCAAAGAGGTTGCCCTCGCAGTGAATCTCCTTGAGTGTAGGCCGGCTTGATGCTGCCGCGCTGAGCAAGGCCTGGGCTGCTTCCTCCATCATGAAGTTGTACGACAAAGTGATGGACTCTAGAAAGACACTCCTGGGCAGGGCGGCTCCAAGCGTTGTTCCTCCTGGGTCCGTTATTCGGTTCTGGTTGACGATACGATTTGACCATCGTCGGAGGCAAAGCTCTTCATTATCAAAGGCAAGAATCAGCTTTTTGAGAGCGGATAGGGGAGGATGCTTGTTGTTGTTTTTCGCATGCGCGGATTCCTAGAGACAAAGATCGGGTGTATAGTGGATTTCATTCAACCTTCATACCGAAGCGCGGAGATTCGCGTCTTAGGGTTGTTATGACATTCGTATGTTACGTCACAATGGTATACCGCACTCCGCGTCAGGAAACAGATGTGCGACGCTAGTTGCGCCACTGCCAGAGTCACGTCAGCGAAAGTTGAAACCAAACAGCCTGAGAAGCATTTCTCACCTGTCCGAGGTCAAGGGTCTTGATCAAGGGAGGTCGGTGGCTTCGAAATGGCTCTTCGTGACTTCCGCTCGCACCTTCTTCCCCCTCGTCCAAATCTAGTGGATAATCTCCGACGAGGGCTTGCGCTAACGCTTCCACCCCGACGTCGGAGATCGCGTTCGCTGACAACGTCAGGAGAGTTGATGCAGTTTGACGAGAGGTGACGGGACTGGTTCCCTTAGGGTTGTAGACTAGAGTAACATGCTAGCTACATCGTGTGAACCTACACAGAATACAGTCACCCATGACTCCCAACTTGGCTAGAGTATGTGGGAATGCTGTAAAAGTACTATTGTATGTACATAGCCCTCCAAATTCCTACACTACATGCCTTGGATCTTGCAAGTTAACCTTCACGTAAGCATTTAAACACCTATTTATACCAGGCACCGACCTAGAGGCCAAGCATGCCGAGCACTGCCAATTCTCAGCATGTACCCGAGCCACCAGATGGCCCCGGACACCTGGTGCGTTTCTGAGATCAAACCTGATAAGTCAACGTGGGTTAGACCGCTCGAGGCCCAGATACCCCTCGCCACGGCCGTTGCTCCTTCGTCGGATAGACCGCATCGAACCAATGATATCGATGCCAAGCTCCCAAATCGTTTTGCAAAGTAGTCACCAAGCACAGTTCCAATTCCTGTCCCGAGGGCATCTCCTCCTGCGCGCAGGCGTGCATGAAGGACACGCAGACATCCTACTCTTGACCGTTGCATTGATTTGTCCTTCTTTAGGAGTTGCTGCCCTTCATGCACCACGACAGGGTAGTCTCATGGACGAACTCGCAGCTATCGGTACTTGGTGGTCCTGGAGAAGCAGCGATCTACTGCGGCTGAGTGAAGCAATCGTTTGCCTTATCATGCAATGAAAGTCGTTCCGGATTTTGCTGGCTGTGTCAGGTCTTCGACGGCTTTGACTAGAAAGTATCCCACTAATCCTTCGCTACTTGGTGTGATTCATTACCTCTTTCAAGTCCCTCCACAACCACCTCCCGCAGTCGAAACGCGCTCGTCCTAATCGTATCGCAGACCTTCTCCCACCACCTGCCAGTGCGCCACTCGTACTGCCTGGAGTTGTCAGTTCTCATGGCGTCATCAAACCAGACGCACCCCCCTAGGGCAAGCCGGGACAATTTGTTGAGCTCCAAGCACTTCAAGAGGGCCTCCCTGCCTGGCGGCGTGTCCAGTTTCGCTCGGTGCAGTACAAAGCCCTGGCACATGTATTGACGACGTCAGGGCCGCCGAGTACGACGAACGAACGTAGCGAGCACCATTGTGAAATTTCCGGAGAGTTCTTCGCATAAATGACTCGCTAACTGTGGAGCGCACCATACTCGGAATGAAGAATTGGAGGCGTACCATTCCAAAGGGGACGGAATGCCGCATGATTTTCCACACCTAGAGATGCACCGCACATGGGTTCGTTTCATCACAAATTGTTGAACAACTCATACCTTCAGCGAGCACTCCGGGTGAGCGAGCAATGCCGCCACCATGATCATGTCTCCACTGTCGAACAGGGTCGAAGCTTCCGAGGCGACGTGCAATGGCGCTGTCGTCACCGACATAGCCCCATCAGGCTTGGTTGTCGTAAACTGCGGTGGAGAGGGAATCGACTTCACGACTCCGTAATGATGTAGTTCAGGAGTCGCGAAGTATGTGCCCCCTACATCCCTCACTTGTTGCTCTTGTTCTCTTTCTTCTCGTCGCGTGTGTTCTAAAGATTCCAACTCGTCCCACGGCCGAGGACGCGGCTTGCTCGCATCATCTGTTCGACCCTTTTGACGACCAGCCCCTCTCTCTGGCGAACTGCTCATGCCGAGTCCCTTACGTTCTTGGTCGCCACATGCAAGAGCTCTCCAACTCGCGGATTGTCCATGGCAGATAGAGGTCGCTGGCTGGGGCCTTTCGCCGCTCGCGTCGTACTTGCGACTTGAACCTGAACCCCGGCATGGGGACTGCGGTGGTGTTGAGCGTGGTGGGGTTTGGACGTCTGGGCTAAAGGCAATAGTTTCTAACTGAAGAGCCTGCTGGAAGACTGGTGACCGCTGGTCGACGCCCGGAGACCTGAAACACAAGCATTCCCGACGAGAACGGTGTTTGTCAGAGCGATGAATTCGTCAAAGACCTGCGGTGCAGATCAACGCAGTTCCACGAGGGTGGGGAATTGCAGAGTGCAGAGGCGATTGGCAAGCATCTCGCTGAGCGAGCAAGAAGTACTGTAGCAAACCACCAACCTTGGCGTCCCAAAGAAGCCCATGCCTTTTGTTCTTCGCTCTTGAATCATACCTGTACAACGTCAGGCCGTGCCAACCTCTGACCCTGCCTGCTACGTCGTTGTCAGCGCCGTCAGCATCTTCCTCATCGTCCGCGGCGTCCTGGACCATTTCGAAGACCACAGGCGCACAGAGTGCCCCATCTGACGCGGCGCCTGTAGGCCCAAACGGTGGGAAGAACCGAGAACCCGGAGCAGACGGCTCGAACGACCTTCCCGACAGCTTAACTGATACCCTGGCTGCGGCACTGGCCGCCCCCGATGCGGCCCGGCCCGCTGCCCAGTCTTCCCCCGGCGCTGGAAATGGGCTTCCGAGAGGAGTGCCCAAACGGCCACCGACGCCTCGTGCGCACTTCAGCGCTGCCTTGAGAGCGGGCGATGAAGGAGGTGGTGGCGACGTCTGGCTTCTTTGGAGCTTGGTTCTGCTGGGTGACCACCCACAAGCGCCGGTCTTTGACTTGATAGCAGCACCACCTGACGGGCGTTGTGAGGTTGGTTTTGCTGTGGTCGTCGAAGGGTGGGAGGAAGGCGACGACGTGGCGTCTTCGACGAGTCTTGGTGTAGAGCCGCCGGAAAGAAGAGTTTCGTGTCCAGCCGGCAATGCTGACGCGCCGGGGGCAGAACTCGAACACGCTACCTCGGCCGACAGAACCGCCGCTGCCGATTGGTGGGTGACGTGGGCGCCCGTCGGAGATATTCGGCGGATGCCTTCTTCTTCCTGATCGGGAATCGACTGACGACGATTGCTTTCATTGCAGGTGTCGGACTGGAGAAGCGGCGCGGTGGAGAAGGCTGAGGCACGCCTAGATGTAGGAGGGGACAAACTCCGAGTTGGAGGGATGCCGCGTGTTGGTTGGGAGGGTGATGAAGGCTTGCCGGCTCTTTGCAGTGCCAACCTTCTCGCCCTCACAACGCTGCTGCCCTTGGCTTTAATTCTGACAAGGCGCATCACACAATGGAGTTTGAAAGTCACCTATGAACCAGGGATGACCTCATGCATGTGACACCGGTAGGGCTATATCGCGAACCTGGGTTGCATTTCATTGCTACTCGTGTGCTTACCTGCGAAGGAGTCTCTTGTGTGCTCTCTCCGCTCTCCGTTTGTCTAACGGAGTGGCGATGGCCTCACTGCCACTGGTGTTGCCAAGTCTTTGTTCCTCCAGGGCTCTGCTCATTGACGGGCAGCGTCGGCGCACTTTAACACGAAAGATAAAATTCCGTATTAACGTCATTCTCGAACAAGCTCCGTCACCTCTACACGCTTGCCGTGCGATCCCTGGGTACTCGGCGGGATCTATCTTCCAGAAACTGCAACGTGCTTCACATATTGAACGGAAGTCAACTGCTGCTGAGAAGGCCATGAGTACGTTTCACATCATGTGTTTCACCTTCGTTCACTCTAATAGCAACACATCAAGAGAGGTTTCACTTCGGGTAGAACAACGCATTCACCTGGAGGTGTCCGCACGACTGCAATGCACGCCGCTACTGCTGGTTGGTGCTTACCTGAACCGTCGCTCAACTTCTCTAGCCCTTTCTTCCTTCTTCTCCCTGGAAGCCCGCATGGCCAAGAGGGCAGTCAGAATCACCATTCGCTCCCGATGTCGCCTGTACTGCCTCTGCTCTCTCACACCACGGCAGTCAGAGAACACGGGCACCGACGTGGTAGCGAGGCAGGGTGAGGAATGATGCTATTTCACAACGGGTGCAATACCTGTCACATGGTATGAATTGCGTCACGTTGGCGTGGTGCAGCGAAACAGTTGCCTACAAAAACATGGTGGAGTTGACAGAAACGATCACAGCTGCAAGAATGAGCCACGGGCACCTGGGGCCGTGGCGGTTACCTGTATTCTCGTGACCAAAGCGTGTTTTCTTTCTGCGGCACGCCTCCTGCCGAGGAAACCCCTTGTGGAGCGCTGAATGTCCGATACCGCACGCCGGCGTACAACGACTTCGTAACGCGCTTGCTTCATCCGCCAGGTTGCCTGAACAACGAAACGAAACCAACAGGGGCGATTGCAAGAGGATGTTTTCGATTGTCGGGAACGTCAGGCAGAATGCAGAGAAAGCAGCAACGGCGACACAACATCTACATACATGTAGACTTGAAATCTCCTGTACCCTTCGTTTGACACCAGTTTGGGTAGCGGGTCTACGAGAGACTTTCATTGCGCTCAAGAGGAAATGAGTAGTTTTTCGAGTACGGTCGATATGATGTTGACGAGGCGAACTATGTTAGGTTTCACTAGCGCGTGGAGAAAAATCAGTAGCAATGTTGTGCCCAATAATTTTCTAGACTTGAACGACGGGGGTGGGCGCGACCCCATTCAGTAGCGCTACCCTGTAGGCAACTTTTCCCTTTGCAAAGTGGGAGGCTTGCTCAAGGCCCACCTGGAGCTTAATTGAGGAGCCGAGTTTGGCCTTGGCTATCTTCCTTTCGCGCGCAAGCTGAGCCCTCTTCACCGCATAGCTCCACTGAAGCGCCCGGGCCCTGTACACGCGCTGGATGAACGTTGCGGCCTAGACACCGCACATCCGTGTTCCAATAGCGTTTTTTCCAGGGGTCATCATGGACAAAGCAATTAATCGAGGGGGAGGCGCGTTATACTCAAGTAGGGCCGCCAACGCGTGGTATCGCGGCAAGGGTGCCATTGGAACGAGGACACATGAATTCCAAGCGGGAGTTATCTTACGCGAAAAATGCCAGGAAAGAACAATGGCACCATTATAAGCATAAAATATGAACATGCATTCGAAGAAGGAAACCGTTCAGAACAATAATGTTCAAATCACGAGGATTGGTGTCTCCACGAATGTTTCCTCCCTGCGACAAACAATATGACTATCGGCGTATCGATATCGTTCTGTTCTACATTAGGGTCGGACACCAAAACATGGAGATAGTAGGATGTCGTCGTGACAGTTTCAGAGGTGAACGCATGTTGATGCGAGCAAGATACCACATTCTGAAGTATCGAGAGGAAACATTCGTTCGTACTCATATCTCTATCGACAATTGGTCAACCCATATAGACAAGTTGATGAGAGCGTTTCAGAGGTTCGCACATGTCGTTTCGAGATACCTTTGTTGACTGACTCCTTAGTAACGATATTCCCCACTACCCACAATAGCAGGAACGATAGGGCGGGTAGTGACTACCGCCTCTGCTTTCCGAGCTGACTTACCCTGATCCTCTGGGCAGCATGTGAGATCCGTCTGTCCACCTCTCTCCGAGCGAAAAAACGCCGCAGCTGGCACTGCAGGCGAATTGCCGCTGCCTTCCTTTGTCTCCTGGATTGTAACAATGTGTTGTGAATTTCATTGGTATCACAAAATATGAGTATTCACTGGTATCACAACACCCGTATAGGGCCCGGCCCAAGACACCCGGGGCGTCAAACTAGAACCTCTAAGCTGAACCAAGAACATCATCGATCATTCCATCGTGGTAGTATACCACCAGCTGGAATGAAGTAGGAGGGGAAATATGACGGGGGAATATCTACAAGGCCTTGTCTATCGCATCACACGCTCAGCCAGAGTGAGCCTTCACAAAACCCCAGGCAAGTCGCGCCTGGCGGCTTCTTGAGTCTGTACTGTGCACAAGGAAACTAGAGATGACTGATTTCCTCCAACCCACCTTGGGCACGTAACCCCATGTAAAGCGATATCGACAAGCGTACTTCACAGCAACTACGTCCCGACCAGTATTCCACTCCTGCTTTGCCTTCTTCACGTACCTCATGTCCCTAGCACGGTTCTTCAACACCTTACGGAACATTTTCCTCGCGAGCATACTCCTCGCCGCTCTCTGATTATGCACAGCCGCGACCACGCACAAAGAAGACACACGGACACGTAGAGCAAGCGACGACGGTAGCGTCAACAAAAGATGGGCCGGAGGGTGTTAAACGGCAGTAGGCTTTCGCTACGGTAGGATCATTTCACCAATGTAAGTAGTCTGCATACAACGCGAAGCGAAACGATCTAACCATGTTGTGCGAGTTTCCATAGTATGGTGCACCACGTGTCGGGCTTCCAACTAGTAGCAGCAAGAAGTTGCTTCTTGCGCTGCCTCCACCGTACATGGAGTTACCGTACCTGTAAAAGGGGCGCGGCCTCTTCCTGGCTGTCCATAAGGGCCACCACCGAGACGATTTTATGTGTTCGTGGGGTGTACTGGAGGCACAAAAAAAGGAGGAGACGGGGAAGTCGCAATAGGCGGATGCGTTGATAGGCAGTTCGAACCTCCGAATTTGGGCGGGGGATGAAACTGCATGTAAGTCTGAGAGCGCGTGGGGATTTGACGCACACACCACAGACTCCCAGCCCCGGTGCTGGATGCCGGACTCCCTGCGAATGTGAAGACGCAGAGAAGCTGACCTCTAGGGATGGTTTCGAGTGTCGAATCTAGAAAGGCCTTTGTTCCGCGCTGCCACATGGATTTTGATTCACCGCGGGTTTTAACTAAAACTTTCGGCAGGACTCGTCAAACCTAAATGTTTTTCTAGACGGGAGGTCTCCACGACAAGGAACATGCCGTGTCTAGCGCGAATGTACATAAGTCTACAGACCAATAGATGCAAAGCAGTTTCTCAGATGGCGTACTGGAGCGAAGCCTGCCGGTGCCTTTCAGCCTTACTTCGAACAGACGAGGAAGAATTCGGCGTGTGGCGGCTTCCACAGCAGATCATGACATGCGACAGAAAGCATTACTTCTTCAAACGATTCGGGGCAGCCAGACCTCGGCACTTGCAACCCCTCACGGGAGAACCGAAGGAGTTGATCGTTGTCCCCGGCAAACATATTTCCGAAGGTGATGATAAGGCCATTCCTCACACACAGTGTTTTTTGGAACAGTCCAAGAGACTGTTTTCGTAAGAGACTGCTGCAACTGCCCATGACGAAGACCCAACTCTCACCAATCAACAGAACACGAACAGACAAAGATAAACCGAACCCTCGTCTCATCTGAACGAGTTTGTGGAATGTACGCAACGGAACAGGCCGGTTTCAATGCTACGCACCCGGCTTGAAGCACGGGCCCGAATGATCGCCCTTGACTCAGCGTTGTAGCCACTTTTCTGCCAGAGCTTGAGAGCATTGGTCAGCTGGGTCCTGTATGCTGCTTTCTTTGCCGCGAACCACCTGTACTGTTACCAACGGTGGTAGCGGCGACGGTATGACGGGGTGGAGGGAATCATCTCAATAAAAACAATAAAAACTTGCTCTTTCGGCGATTGGTTTCCCCTCACGTGTTCCTCGTTCTGCCCGGTATCCTGGTAATTCCGTCATAGCTCCTAGCCACTAACATGAAGCAAATCTGTCCCTTCCTAGAGGGCATCTGACCCATTCACGTTTGTTCCCCTTTCGGCGGTACAGGCCTAGAGAGTCGACGCATGCATTTGAGAGTGATCAGGGTGCTGAACGAGGTTGACGTCCGGTGCGGACCATGGAATGATTCATTCAAATTAAGGTGCTCGGCATTGCCGTTGACGTTGGAAGCAAATGTGCCATCCTAGTTCTTTTCGCCAGATGCCCTATGAGATTCGTCGCCAAAACCGTCAAATAATTGATGTTTCCTCTTGCAGCAAAACATGTTGCTTGTTGTTCGTGTCCCTGAATTCGTGCAGCAGTAGTAGAGCCACAGAAGACGAAAAGCAATAGCCGGGAAGCCAAAACTGCGGTAGGTTCCGTCGAAACTACATCACGGGCCCGGTATATACCGGGTGCGCTTCACTTCACCTCAGGCGAAACAGGCCAGCTCGCCCCAAACGCTGAATGACCCTCGCGCATCGGTCTTCATAGAGCACGACAGGGCGGTGTTTCTCTTGGAAGAAATAGGCCAGCAGGTCGCGTGCCTCCATGTCTAGCCTACAGGACGAGCATTGGACAGCGGAATCATCTTATACTGCCGGTACCTACGTTTTTCATTGACACTTTTCGGGTACACCGTTGGAAAGGCCAACCGATGCCCAACTAGGGCATCACCGCACACGTTGGTGTCCACAAGTAAACGGGAATCTAATGCGAAGAGCTTGCTACTCAGAAGCCTGAGCGGCCAGACGAAGGCAAGACAACGGATATCTACCTAACCGCAACGATTCATAGAATGAGGGCCGTCATAAATCTTGAGGTTCGCAACGTCCGCACTGGACATCAACAAGCGTGCAAGAGGTGCAGCAACCCTGCTGCCGGGGAAAAGTCACGGTTATCGTAGCATTGGTCCTAAAACGGCGCCCTTGTTTCCCCACCGGTTTTTCGCTAGGCGTTCCTCCAGATTTCTTCGGAGACACGTCTTGAGGGAGTCCAGGTACTCCCCCTGCCACACCCTTGTCCTCCATTTCGATTGTAGATGAAGTACAACCTGCGTGTAGGGGGGGTGCCCTGGCGACTTTCTTTCATTGCGGGCATGTCAATGACTGGTCAAGCGGCAGAAACATCTTGCTTGAGCCCCTCAGAAGGATCAAGAGTACCAAGTTCCCCGGTTTCTTGCTTCTTCTCGGCTGGACGGGGTACTATTTAGTGTGACAAACAATCTCCCTGAGCGCCTTCCAAACGAGAACCTCATACCCTTGACCAAGAACAAACCAGTGGACGACGTGGGATAGGGCACTCCTTTAACGATGACCGTGTCCTACTGCCATTGATCGTTCCCAAGATACAGCAGAGGACGTCACGAAGAGAACCAATGCGAACCTCCAACCTGTTCCAATAATCGGCCTGAGGGGAACGGCGGCCGCTGGTTCGAAGAGGTGTCGAAGGATCAAAGTCAGACCCGACATGGCACTGTACACGTGTTGCATCCGAGCAAGTCACCCCGAGAGTCGTCGGGCGTAGTGCAGAAGCCTCGTTGTGGATTCTCGCAGAACTGTACCTCGTACTTATCCTGTTGCGATTTCATTCTAGCAACTTAGGCTCGCCATCTCTTCAACAGAGTTTCGAGACGCGTAAGGCACGGGCCTTCTGAACGATAGACTATGTACGAACGATGAGTACACCTGCAAGCCCATCTCCTTTCTTCGGCAGTTTTCGTCACCCACGAGCTCCCTTAGCAGACCTTTCGCCTCTTCATTTTCGGGCTGGAGCGTCAGCGCTTTTCGTACCACCTCTTCCGCCCTAGAACGGACGCGGTGGCATGGGGACAAACGAAGTTCACGGTGTGGGTGGGTCTTTTTATGATGTATTACCGTTCGGTACAATAGCGTGCGAGTCGCCTGGAAGCAGTAGGGTGTCCGTTCGCGCCAGGAGTGAGCAAGGCATGGGCTTTGATTTAGCAGAGAACCGTAGGAGATCCCGGTACGCCTTTCGTTCACACAATATCGAGTGTGCCTCAAACTCGGGAAGCGATGAGGAGTCGATTGATGGCTTGACGAATCTATGCTCATCATAAGCTGAAAGTACGCCCGCGAAGGTTTCTAGGGCAAACCCTCCCGGAATGGTATGCCACGGAATCGAGCGCCTTGTTGGGCTTTTTTTGCAGTGTTCTTACTGTACGTTTTCGTTGGCATACAATGTTGACATTTTCTGTATGCTGCCGTTGACCTATTGGGCGACACGATACTGGTCTTGTTCCCCTTGCCTGACAAAGCGCTGGAAGCTCGCATAGGCCTCGGACGCGTCCATCAGAGCTGAAAACGATGGCTCGGCCTTGGAGCTCGGCGAAATCTAGCAAGCCGCAGGCACGGCAATGGTCACAAGCAAGGGTGGCCCAAGGGTGGTCCAAGGGCGCGTTCCATGACAGTAGGCTAACTAAAAAAGACGGATGGCATGTTCCGTAGGGAGTCAACAAATTTCGACCAGATGACACACAGGCATCACCAAGCACACCATGCCTGCCGCCTGTACCATTATCGTGATCACCGCCGTGAACACATCCGCTCGAACACGGACCGCCGTGTACACTCCCCCTCTCCACAACAGGTTCAGTTCAAGGACTTCGTGACGTTTCGTCGTCTGTTTGAACCGCTGGTATGTCTAATCGGCCTCTTTCACCTCCTTCTGCCTGCCGAACGCCTCCAGAGCCTTTTCAAACGCAAGCACGGCCAAAGCTGGCTCCCCTTTCTGGCTCCACTCCTTGCTCAATTGGAGCTGTGCGCGTGAGATGCGTGAAACGTGATGAGAAAAATCAGGTCTGTCTGAACGCGCTGGCGCAACGAACGGCCTTGGTGCCACGAAACCACTCTACTGTAGTGTTACATATACGTCCGATCAACCATGACGTCATCTACCAAACGAAGAAGAGCGAAGACATGCATAAACACGCACTGATCACCTTTGGCTCGGCCGGAACCACTGCTGATACTGATTCTATCCGAAACAACCTGGGCCTGAGGCTGCCAACCTATGCAGCAGATATTATATGAAACTCGTACAGGACAGCCATACCTGGGTTTCGGGGGAAGCTATCCAGTCGTCCCAGTCTCGAAACGTCATCGCGTGTTTATCGCCTTGGGCTTTGCGGTTGTCGAACACCTGTGCATACACAAAGACGTGAAACCGCCCGTTCAGGCTATACGAATTGACGTGCATGAACATCCAGCTGTGGCAGACAAAGAATTTGATGTTGACCAAATTATTGATAGAAACACAAGAGCACCAGAGCACAAGAGACACACAAGACCAGCCGGCAGGCATCGCAAAAATCAGAAGTCGTTGATTCTCGCACAGGGTGGCAATCCAGGCTGCTCTAATAGTACATGTCGCGCGTCTACCTCCACTCGCCTCTTTCATAAACGAAGTCAATAGAGTCAAAACGGCAGGCGCTCAAACAAGGTCGGTTTTTCAATAGGTCCTATGCTACTGATAGCACTACGGAATATCTCTAGCGGCGGTGTGCGTTTGTTTGCACCCTCAAATATTCTTCTTGGGTGGTGATATCAAGGGTCGTTGCAGCGGCCTAGAATCTCCGCAAATCTCCGCAAATTCGACCGACACCCTGTGACTTGCACTGCTTGTGCTCGCCGTCACTGACCCCAACTTACGGTCCGTGGCGGGGAGCACGGCTGTGAAACATGTGTGGTTCCGGCAAGTTCCGGCGCAGATATTTGGACTGTTTTCAGAGGCTGCTGCGACCTTCAATATTTCCGCTCCAGTAGCAAACCTGAACGTGCCAGCATACAGGCCGCCTCTTCATGTTGTCCTCTACTGATAACAGTAGAATGCATAGAACCTAAACGGCGGGAAGGTTGTTTTCCTTTCATATTTTGGAATAAGTATTAAAAAAGAGGCAGTGTCAAAATGCCTTATTCTTCAATCCCTTAAGCGAGCTTCACTAGCTGGCGAAAACTATGAGAGGAAGGCACTATTCAATATGAGCAACCCAAGGGTTGTCACTAGTGTTGGGGACGCTGAAGGTTTTCTTGCTTTCATCTGGCCCTTGCTTGGCTCCTTGTGACCGCTGGAGTTCTTGTCATTATCTTGGAGAGAAGGAGAGGTACTGGCATATTCAGCGTAGGGTCTCATGTGAAGGCAAAAACAGCTACAACAAGAACAACAACAAGACGACGCGATGGGTAATGGAGCTTCAACACTACTTTTTGTCCGAGATGTATGCAACGGTTGTCAAACATGCACTACGTGCACGGAGTTGGAGACAGGGATAGGGTGTACGTGTGCTTCAACAAACGGGAGTTCATACCCTTTGGCCATGCCGCGTTCGACGACGGTAAGAAATTACATCACCGTCATCGTCCCTACCTCTTGGTATGAAGCCTTTGCCCACCCTTTCGCGACGGCGGACCCTTCTGCCAGTGCCATGCACACATCTGCGTAAAGCAACGCCGCCGACTCGGCGAAAAATCCCTTCCTCAGCGCCTGCTCCTGCATGATGAGATCCAGGTGCTCCAGGGCGCTTTCCAGTAGACCGTTCCGAGGTGCCCTCTGCCAGCAAGGGGGTCATGATAGGCCAGCCGGTCGTAGAATTAGTACTCAGTGCTCCGTGTGCGGTGTGTCGCCGGAATGCGGAGGAGGGGGGTTGGGGGAATTGTTGTGGAGAACGTTGGGATGGCCGGGATGATGCTCAACTCCGGCTGCTGGCTTCGGTTATGATGATTTGTCAAGCCAAGGGAAACAGCCAAGAAGCCCGTGCACAACGAACACTCGCCGCGCCACCCAGCAGCCCTCCAATGAGCTCCCGTGACGCAAACCGTGAATACATTTCATCACCTGCCTTGACGTCATGGGGTCACAGAAAGCGTTTCTGCAACACTACCTTCCAAGACGAACAACAGTCGAAACATGTTTCAACATCGCAGCCCTTTGGCCACTGCCGCAAGTGACGGCAATGATGTCTTGGGACTTGACTCGGGGCGCCGAACAGAGTACCATGGCTCCAAGGCAGGTGGACCTACCTCGAGTGTAGCCATGTATCGCATCACCACGGCACAGCGGAATAACACGCCCTCAAACCCACTCGAAAGAGGCATGCTGCTGGCTATCCTTTGGTAGATGTGCAGCGCTCCCTCGAAGGATCCAAACGACTCGTACACCCCTCCGAGCTCAAGTAAACGAGCGGGAAGTTCCCAGACCTATTAGTTGACAATGGGCGAACAACGGTGCCCCTATCATCACAGCATCGAACCCGGGAGTCTAGTTCAACAACACACGCCAGACAAGTTGCCGGGTGTGTCAACTTTGCTATAATAGCCTCAAGAGGCGCCCCTGACAGCGTTGAAGCGCAACATTCTTTCGATGTGGCAAACTTTTTCGCACGAGACTGCTGTATGCATCTCCTGTGAAATCGGCGTATTTCCATTTCGCGTTACAGCGGCGAGTACCACATTGAGGCAAGGCATCGGGGTTTACCGAGATAACGAAGGCCGCATCACCTGCACAAATCCAGGTTCAAGAAGATCGACCGAGCGGCGATACGCGTCGCATGCCCATCGCAAACGCTCGTGCCCGGTAGCAGGGTCCTGCTCCCAAGCCCTGACTTCCGCCCGGGCAAGAGTAGTCCACGCCACGTCATCGTCAGATCCCTGCACAAGGCAAGTGGCAACAGGCGGCGCCTAGACTCAAAGCATGGCCTTTCGAGACCCAATAGACACAAGTGGGAATTTCGAATGCCGGCTTTCTATGCAATCGATGTGGTCTGAGATAATAAGGCCCTCCCTGGCGTACGCGGCAAAAGCCGGGGATATCTACCGAGAAACACAAGGAACTGTGTGGCAGAGTCAAGACCCTGATGTTTTGGATGGGCGCAACTGATGCATTCCACCCTGGCGCATCTGGAGGATGAAAGCTGTGTCTACATACAGCCGTGTGGCGGGAATCGTTTGTTGATCGGAGGAACTGAAGTCGTGCCTCACATGCAGAAGAATACATGATCTTTCAGGCCGCTCTGCCCTACCGTCACCACCCGCGTACCTTAGCTGCGAGGCGCAAATGCTCAATCGCATTCTCCAAGTCACCATCCGCAACCTCTAGGCTGCCCAGACGCCCAAGAAGCTTCCTGTCGTCGGGCGTTGCTTGTAGCCTATGTTGTAGACCTTGCCGAACGATCTTACGCCCGGCCTTTTGAAACCTGTCGTACAAAATTGACAGAACATGTACTGTCAATCGCGATGTTTGTCATGAAGGGTCTGCTGCCTGAGCAGTCCATCGAGTTCCGCTGGAGATACCAATGGATGACAACAACATCACAGAGGCAACCGCACATCAACGGCCGAGAAGGCATCCTCACCTCTGAAGAGGTGAAACGAGGGGCTCTTGGGTCCCAGCAGAAACTCGGCCGGGATCTCCATCGTCTCCTAACCTCCCTTCAAGGTTAGCTCTTCGCCCCACCAAGGACCGCCCGTGATCCCTGGTCTCTTTTCGGTCAGCTCCACTCTTTCGAGCCAAGGAAGCGAAACGTGACTTAAGAGTTCCTCCAAATTCGCGGCCCAGTAGCGGAACGCTCCCGTCCAAATGGGCTGGTGATGCACGGTGTTGGTCCAACGGGGACAAGTCCGTGGTCGAGGATGATGACCCTCGCACAGCAGGTAGGCCAACTATTGCTCGCGCGTCCACGACACTCAACCTGTTGCTAGTAAGCATGACGGGTATGCTGAAGGAGATGATCACACACCAGATGTGCGATTGGGCGCCCACACAGCCGGGCTCGAACACCCACACACCTGCAGAGACTCTTATTGACAAGTCATCAACGAATGTTCTGTGCGGAGGAAAAGGTAACGATTTGACAGCAAATACCCGCCGAACCGGCACGTGGCATATTATTCCGATTAAGGCACATAGACTACGCACCAGTGGTTTGCCCGAATCTGGTCGGGAGCAGTGAAGAGTGAATACTACTTCAACATTTGCGCAGGAGTCTTCAACTACCGACCGGGTGTTGAACCCGCCACAACTCACAGCGAAACATGAAATGTAATGTCAGATGCACAACCAATTCAACCATCACTTACTGTTGTCCATCCCACCGTGCAAAACTGTAGCTTCGACGCGTCTATAGACTATACAGGAGAACGGGGCCCAAACTCCCTGGGTGCAAGAAAATAATGTCGCGAGATACCAGGATCGGCGAGATCTTTCTGTTTACAGAAAAAGCCGGAAATATGACATCGGTCGGAGAGATGGCACCGGGAAGACGTCACCGGGGGTGTGAACGGGGTATGGAAGAGTTTTATTTTTTTTACGAAGACTAGATTCTTGCCGTGCCCACCACATGGCTACTTCCCCAACAATTGAACTCTTTCTCTTATACGTAACCTGATGGGATACATTTCCGGTTGATTTGAATGATCAGTTAGGTCTTACTGTATCCCTTTATTTTATTTTATTTTTTCTTAGTATGACACAACGAATCCATCTCTATTTATCATATAAAAGAGCCTGAGACAGATTAGCAATGAATTCATAGCGTCAGAAAGCACCTGTATGTCTACGATTTCCCAGACAGCATATAGGGACATCTCCCCTGCGGGTAACAGGCTCAACAAGACAGTTTGGTAGCTGTCTTGTGTGTTTCATATATGTTATGTTGGGAAGGTGCAGAAGAAATGTGTCAGGTACTGGTCGGGTGTTTTGTGTGTGGCATCCTTTTAGTCGTAGGGCATGCAATCTCCCTCAGTTTTCAAACGTATATATATTCAGTGTGGTACGCGTATGTACCGGGTATGTATATGTGCGGACACATTTCGGAGTAAGTTTTTAATGACGCGAGGAAAGGTTGCTGGTTGTTGCCTGGGGGCGGCGGTATTGTTTTTGCAAAAAATCGCTGGATGGAGGGCAGGAGTTTTAGTTTGTGCCGCTGGCTTGGATTGCAAGAAGATAAAAAAGAGATTTCCGGGTATCTGATGGGCTGGAGGAAAATTAGAGTATAATTTTCAGTTTATGGAGACAGCAGTGGGACGCTGTGTTGATGTTAGGGCCGGCATAAATTGTTGTTAGGCCCGGAACCCCCCCCGAAAAATAAATGCAAACATAATCGCCTTGTTTGGGCAGACAGACCCAAAAACAAACCCATTATTAGATCGCTTGACTTTACAAACAAATGGTAATTATTTTTTCGTGCCCCTCCAATCAGTCAGTGTGGGACACACAGCAATGTGCGCAAAAGTGAGTGTAGGACACAGCAGTGTGGTAGCACACAGCAGTGTCGACACCCCCGTGTGGGATCACGCTGATAGCACTGACTGAAACCCCAATTTGCGATTGGGGAATATCCGCACACCGGTCGGAGAGATCGCACGGGGATGCGTAAAAAAACGCGAAGAAAAAACGTTAAAACATGATCGCAATGCCACCTCTCCGACTCTTACGGTATTTCCACTTGCTCGTGCATGCTTAATTTTACACGCGTAGATCGTGCTGATACAACCAAGATATTACATGGAAGTGAAATGCCCAATTACAAGCTTTTAGCGAGCGGCACCACCGCTCGCTATCAGAAGACAAAACGGGACATCTCTACGTTGCAGCGCAGGTTCATAATTTGGGCGCTAGGGCGCCACAAATGCTATCCCTTTCAATTTGACCCGGACGAATCAACTGCAAAAATTTAGCGTTGTGCACAAGTCAATGCCCATGGCCGTGGTCCTTCAATGTTGTTGCCGGGGTGCCGCCCCGGCAACATCTCTCGATCTATTTACGAAGGAACGACTACACAGCATACATTCCATGATGTGCTTCCCGCGGGAAATCAACGTTCTTGGCGTCATTCTGTGGCGCGCTCCTTGCTTACCAGCACCGGCCTCTACACACAACATGGTACTCCCAATATTGCTTCGAATCACGGCAACTCGCTCGGGTATACTTCTTTGCTGCGCCGAGGTTGTGAGCTCCTAGAGGCACACACCCGCCTGCCTACTCACCATGTTGTATTCTTCGCGTAGCCTCGTTGGCAACAAAATTCGTTCTCCGGTAGTAGAAGGCCAGCACGGCCAAGCACGAACGACAGTTGGCATCGTTTATGCACATCACTTTTTCGCACCGTGTGCAGCTCTCCGTACATCAACTGGCTTTTCGTATGCCCGTGTCGGCAACCCCCACATCTCAATCAGTCCTTTCTGGAAAAAAAAAACGCGCGTGCCAACCTGGCACACTCTCTACGGCCCTTACGACGAACGGTGTGCCGCTCGTTACCTTTACTTCTGAGGAGAGAGAACAAAGCAGTACCAAGTAGAAAAAATGGTGTTTACGCGTATGTGTCCTCTGAAAATTACAACCGGCGCGACAAATTCCCAGAGAGAACGCAATGTTCAACTTCATCAAGCACTTCCTTTTTGACCAACCGCAGACAATTGTGTGTAGGCACCATTTCCCACATCAGTACCAAAACAGATGTCGTACATCTTCTGCTCTGGCAGGTGTGGGGATAGCCGTAATTGCCAATAACTCTACGAATCCCCTCCCATAGCAATCTCCCGAACAACCCCATGCATTTTCAAAGCTTCAACCGCGTGGCAAACAGCCGTCGTCTTTATCCAAGCTTCAACCGCGTGGCAAACAGCCGTCGTCTTTATCCAAGCAAAAGACAGCAGGAACAATGAAACCAAGTGAGCACCACCCTTCAGAGCAAACAACGACATTCGATGTCGTCAGGTAGCTCCGCTAGCCAACACCCCAGGACCTCCATTCGCCGCGCGTACGTCTAGCCTAAATGGGCACTGAGAACGGTCATGCAGAGTAGGAACACCACAACGGAGACAAAAAACGACGGAATAAAACAAGATCTACCTGACTACCCCCTTAGCTGCTCGCCGTCCACCACTTGACGCTGTTCTTGGTACCACCGACGGCCTGAGCCTCTTCTGTGCAGAACATGTGGTCAATACATCGAGCTCCGAGTCCATTGTTGGGAATGGCTGAGACGTGGCTCCCCCGAACGATGGATACTGATTGCCGTGCACTCAGTGGCTCACAGCGTCACTCCCACCATACAAGCCAAGCCATGTCGTGGACCGTCGTTGTTCTACCCGCCTGCTGCGTATCGGGAAACCCAGCCCAGAATGTTCCTGCCATGCGCTAGGCAGCGCGCGGTAGGCTGCAGTGCACGAAGGTCCAGACGGGAAACCCAGACCAGAATGTTCCTGCCATGCGCTAGGCAGCGCGCGGTAGGCTGCGGTACACGAAGGTCCAGACGACGAATGAAACGGTGCCACAGCGCCAGGGTCGTCCAGGGTGCCTGAATCGTTTGCCACGGCACCGCGCGCTGGACAGCACCCGCCAGCGTGAGTGCGGTGACCATCGTGGTCACATGCCGCCCTGAACCCAGCCGCCGACAGAAACGTGGGAGTGTGAGCCCCTGGCTCCCTGCTTGGGTGATCGCCGTGGAAACTTGCCACGGAGTCCAAGGGAAGAAATTCCGTAGGTAAGGCACCGGCTCTCTCCGGGAGCTCGCCCTCGACCCAGCTAGGTCCGGTGCCTAACCACGCCTGATCTCGGCAAAACTCACTCGGAGCCGTGGTGGCGGCTGGGCATGCCCAGCGATCGCCTTCTTCTTGTGATGTTAGCTTGTGCTGATCTTCTGCGCCAACTGTGCCGCGATCGGGTTCCATCTCCGTCGTGTTGGTCTCTTTCTGTCCCAGGTCATGGAAAGACCTTTCCAATGACGAGTATATCATCACGCCATACATCGAATCATGACCATATCACCGTTAAACGGCAGCACAGGGAGCGCCAGAAAATGGGCACGGAGTCAGGTGTGCCCCATGCGAATTGCAGCACTACTGCTGCACCGGGGCAGCCAACATCAATCCACGTCATGTCGTAGGAGTTAAGCGATCGGAGGGCGAAACAACGCTTGTATAACAGCGGAAAGCGGAAGGTTTGCTCACGGTATCTCAAGCACTGCAGCTTGCGGCTGTGCTTCACCTCCAACCTCCCAAACGAACGCAATAGAGGTTTCGGTGTGGTCCAACCAAACTTCGCTGCTGGTCATAGCGATCCCGTCGTGCACCGGTTCGGCGAAATACGCGCGGAACCCACAAAAGGAACCCACCTGCAAAAGATGTGGTTGCAAAAGCCAACCATGGTCCACGCTTTCTGTTCGGGCACCTCGGCAAGGTCTTCGGTGCGAACCGAGTTGTACGCCTGGCGCAGCTCTTCGAACGGCTCAGCATCCTCGAGTGTAGCCAGCACGGTCAGCAGGCAGTGAGACAGGTGTAGCCTGTGGGCCGAGAAAGCGAGGGGGCACGACGGCGTGATGGGGGTTGGTGATGCTTTCTCCACCCGGGCTAGCTCGCATGTCACGTTAGGCAGCAATAATTGTCAGCAAACGAAGCAGACCTTGCAATCACGGTGAGAAACCTCTCTTGATTGCTCATTCCATGAGGCCTCTGAGTCGGCAATCTACGACGTTGAAGCATGAAAACCAAGAGCGCGGCCAGGCACGGGTATCTCGGATGTATTCGGACTACACAGATGCACAAGCCGAGGAGCGTCATGAATCGAGCAGCCGACAAGACGCCCAACAGAGAAGGACACTTCCAAGCTCCAAGAAGCATGATCGTGCCTGAACCCCAAACGAGTTTACGGCACCGGAGAACCCTCTTTCCTCAACCGCCAACCGAATCGACTTACCACCTGGAGAAGCGGCAGAGTCCCGGATACCTGTTGCAAACGCGCGAGGGAAGCAGCGTCAAAAAGGAACTGTAGTCAAGCTTGAGGAGGAGGACAACGTGTCTATCGCACAAGTCGAATCATCCGACAAGCTCTGGGTGCCCTACAGTAGTTGGGGCATGACCATGACTACGTTGGGGACATGCAGTCCTGAACGGTTGTCGGTAGCCTTACGTAGGTCGCCAAGAACTCAAGCAGCGATCGACCGCCGAAGAGCGGATGAAAAAACAACGTCGATTGAATCCCGGCTTGGTAGTCCATCCCAATATCGAGTGCCAACTTGCAGCTAGAAACTTCCCAAAGGGCTATACGAGAAATCTTACTCGTTCCCGCGCGACTGTCACCTGCCTAGCGACTCCGGCATGCACCTGAGCGAAACGTGCGCCCAAGGCGGCTAAGGTTGCATTCACCAAATCAAATCAAGCCGAGCAACCCTGTACAGTTCGAGGTGCTGCCTTCGAGAAGCCTATCGCATGGCCTCCAGTCTGCCACCGCGATACTACCGGTTTCCTAGTGGTGAAGGACGCTAGTTCAATGAAACAATTAAAGGGTAAACAATGGACTACAAACCAGCCCACCTAACGAAGATCTTGGCGCAGAGTTTCATCTTCTCAGCGCCGAGCTTGGTGCTACCAGCCGCAATGTCCAGATAAGCCGAAATGGCGTTGAAAATGAGGCCTCCGATCCCAACGCCAACCTCCGGGCTGGCAAGAGGTGCGAGAAAAGAGCGAAACACCGATGAACCAAAACCAGAGACACGGAGTGTCAACCTTGAATGTCGTTGAAAATAAACTCTGCTGTCCAATTGGTGAGAAAAGGAGAGGTCCACACGGTGACATTCAAGAAACATCAAGGAAATGCAAAAGCACGACGCATGGCCACATGTATCGGCCGGCGCCTTGGAGGACAGCAAGAGCGATCCTTGCTTGTGAGGTCATCTTTTGTTCGCTGTTGAAGCATGCAGAAGTGTCAAGAATACACCCCCGATCGACACAAATCCAGAGACGAACGTGCGCCGTTCAAATCTCCTGTTGCTAAAGCTTATGCTGGCAGAACTCACATTTGTGCCGTCGTCTTGAGCTTCGAGAAAACCACCTGCGCTTCCCTGACGCACCTCCTGGTCTCCTCCCCCGGTCGACTTGGCTCTGCCTCGTCATTCATCTTGGTGGTGTCGATTGGCGAGACGCTTTCGATCTCGTTGCTCTTCTCCGAAACGTCGCCTGCTCCGCCGCGTGTTGCACCATTCCTCCATTTGTCTCCTCCTCTGGGCCTCCCGTTGAGCCTTTCTTGCTTCTGACCGCCTCCATTTAGGCCATCTTCGGTCGGGGTTTCGCCCTCCCGGCCGGAGGAGGATTTAGTAGTGCGGCCCTCGAGAGGGCGTTTCATTTGTGCCCTGTGATCTCTCAAGTACGCCTTGATCAAGCGCCTGTCCGCTTGGACAAGGAACCTGCACAATTCCCTCTTGCCGATGACGTCGGGGAGCTGCCGCCACGAGTCACGAGTACGACCGTCGAGCGCAGGGGGGGGTTGGAGAGGGGGTCGCTAACAGAGCATTCTATACACGATCGACCGTGAGCGACGACGGTGGTATATTAGCTCGCTCGGTTAAACTTACCGCGATATAACGCGAGTTTGCGGGCAAGCGGAATGAGCGAGCTTTTGGGGATGGACTAGTTGGTTTCGGGACGTGAAAATGTACCACTAGTCATCGAACGGCGGTCGAAAAACAACAACCGAAAGCCTTCTTACACCCGTTTCGAGTTGAAACACGTTAGCCAAATGTTGCCAACCTCCAGATCTTGGTCGTCATCCACACAGTAGGCTTCCAGTTCCTTAGCCTCCAATGCACCCGTGTGGTAAATCCTCGTGTCGTCTCCTCTCGTCAGCAGGTCGTAGAGTTCCTGCTCAAACAGGTACACGTGTACAGCGAAAGGGAACCAACCCCTGGAAGCTAAGCAATCAGCAAAACTATGCTCGTGTAAGAACACAAGGTGTGCTGGGGAGGAACAGAAGACAAACAAATGATGGATGCATTACGAAATTAATGCACCGCAGTGAAGGAAACTGATCTTGTTGAGGGTCCATGTGTCGAAAAGAGTGATCAACAAGCGGCACCGAGATGGGGAAACCGAAGATTGAACCAACACAACGAGAGCAAAGGGTAAGCACGTGTGTAGTTCCAACTGGGCTACAAAGGGATCAGCACGCGACCCCGGATCCTATCGCAACCAAGACCATTCACCACCACAGGGAAGTGCGTATCGTCACAGTCACCTGTGTCTGCGACGTAGTGTCCTGGAGCCGTTCCATGACACCTTTTGCAAACTGAAGATATCTGTGAAACATTTGCTGCGGGAGCGGATGGGGGAATAATCAATACAACGATACGCGAGAAACACGGCATTGGTGAGAACACCATCGTGGCCATCCCAACAAGCGCCTTCTGCTAAAGCGAAAGGGCCATCTCCCACTCACACCATCTGTTCTCGAAGCAGCGTGCCGTGCACAACTCGGGTCAGATCAAGAAACGTTGTGGCTAGCATTTCCGATCCCCGACGACGCCGACTACGCAAAAGGGGAAACAGGGCAAAACCGCACCGAGCCTGTTGAATCAACCCAACTTCGGCGTATGAGAGCAACGAAAGAGCGACAGAACCAATCAATGTCACCTCATTTCGCAGGAAGTTGTAGAGGTAAGCCATCATCATGAAGGCCCTGAGAGGGTGCGAGACGCGGCGGATAGACAACGGGGGGGAATGGGCCGTTAAGGAAACCATCAGCCGAGTCATTGGCCCCATTTGAAGGAAACACGATAGCATCCTGCAAATCGACATTCCTTGAGTATCCCGGCCCGATTTTCAATCTCTCCACGACAAGACATCGATCGCCGTTCCGCGTATCGTTGTCGGTTTCCGACTTGTGGTCATTTTCTGACATCCGCCGGTGGCCGTCCAGGCGCTGCGTTTGTTCATACGTATGGCCACCTACCGTCAGAGCTGCCGCTGCCGTAATTTCTCACCTAGCAGTCTTCACCGTGACCATATCGAAGCAGTGCGAAACCGACCTCCGCGCGAGGTGTAGGTAATCGGTGGCCTGTGCACATCGGAGGGCACCGGACATGTGGGGCCAGCATCAACTAGGATTGGTCGCGGAGAGATCGGTTTCAAGTTGTGCTGAATCACGATCACAGGACACACGCCACAAGCTTGCTCTCGAAGTAGGATACCATCCAACAGAGGACAATTCTTGCGATTGCCCCTTGACCCCCTGCTTCACTGAGGGGTCTCGTCGCCCGTCTCTTTCGTAAACTCGCGTCGGCACACCGATCATGCTGTGCGTCGAATCGGTAACAGTCAGCTACACGAAGATCGGGTCCAATCTCACCCTCTCAGTTGGCTGGCCCTGCACAAGAGCCCCGATTGCCACCGCGCACCAAAGCGTGCAAGTGGAGGCTGCATCGGTACCCTGTCGCGGCTCGCTTTTACCCCAAGCTCCCGCTGGTCTTGTTGGGGCGACATCTTCAGCGCCGACGGGCGGCACGAGTACAACTTCCATGATGGCACCTCGGACCAGGCTGTAAGGGCAGGAGGCGGACACCGCAAGAGCGTTTACCATACATTTGGAACGAAATGCCCCCGGGGGGGTCACAGAATCGCCGCGTATGAACGGGTATCCAGTAAAACCCAGACGGCTTTGGACGTCCCAAACTAGTCCGCCCTGAGTAATTGTATGTGGTACTAATAGTGGAAGTACATCAATAATCGTACCATTGCCACGGTCTGATGAGCTTACCTCTCGTGGGTCAGAGGAAAGAAGCCAAGGCAGCTGAAGAACGAGTTCAGCAACTCGTTTTCCTTCATGCCCACCAACCCCGTCGCCGGAGACGCGCTCAGTCGTGCTCTTGGTGTGGTTCAAAGCAGGTTCCGTATCGGTGAGAAGGGCGGGAGGAAGAACATATTGGTACTCTTCCCTTAGAACAGGGGCACACGATCCATGGGTTCTTCTACGTTCAAGCGCAGCGGTCAAGTTTTCGCGCACCTTTTCCAGCTGGCAATGGGCATCTCTGTCTTTCCCTGATGTACCACGCCTTTCTTCTCTCCATTGCGATAGCCGGGACCCGAGATTGAGCGCTTCGAGTACCTTCGGGGCCGGTTGGGTCGTCGGCGACTGTAGTGACACTCGGACCCGCGCGATGTACAGAAGCTGCCGCAAACAACAGCAAAGGCAAAGCCGGGTCTTGTGTTTAAGGTATTCCTCCCACAGAGTGTAAGCATCACCTCGGCCAAGAGAAACCTGTGCTTGTGTTGGCCGCCTGCGTTTGTGCTGCCCGCCTATACTATCTCTACGCAACATGCCCTGTGTGAATGTTACGGCGTTCTTTCGAACGAAAACCCCAAAAGCGCGTAGGAGAATTCTCGAAAGGAGGTTCCTATGTATTTATGTCTCGGCCATGAATTTCTCGCAGCTCTGAAATAATCGAGCCGGGAAATTCGCGAAAAAGTGGGTGACGTCAACCAAAGGCTGGGCGGGGCACAGTCCTAACAGGAAATTCCAGAACTTGCTCTCGAGGAATATGCGGTCTTCACTGCTGTCTACGCGCGACGCACGGTTGACGCTCGGATATGGGTTTCGTGACAAGCGTTCCGCAACTACTGCAGTACATTCGAACCGCAGACACGAGTTGATGAGAACCTTCGCCGGACGCCTTGCCCAAATGAATGATGCAGATGGTTTCATCGGTAGATATTCAAACGGAAGACATGAATTGATAGGATCCAGATGGCGCCGCACTTAAGAACCGCTGATTAAGGCCGAGGCTCGATGCTTATTGGCTGTCTCAAATTGAGCACTGTTCATATTTTGGGCAGGCACCCGCCTATGCTTTACGGGGTTCTTGTTCGTATTACTACGCCGAGGGTCCCATCAAGAGGACACCAGTTTTTGTTGTCGGTGGATTCAACCTACTTGAGAGCAGAGCGTGTCCACCAACAACAGTACAGTCGACCCCGCTTGAAAGATACACCTCGTTTTCGTTATATTTAGTGTATTCAATGCATAGTTCGGGACCACCTCTCTACCATTTCATTTCGTGGACCGACAAATAAATAGCCTACTCAATGATGATCATACAAAAACTTCGTGTTCAAAGCATTTTTTGTCCCATACAACCAAGATGCGCGTCACCAATCAACCTCCTTCATTCGGCGCGGCAATGGTCGATCCATCTACTTATTTCGTGCAAGCGTTTGAGGATAGCAACGACTGCAACTCGATGAAGTACATATACTGCTGTGGGAAGAAGGAAATTATGTCAGTCATACAGAACTTCAAGTAGGCACACCTATCAACCAGATGTGAAGACTGTGGGATATCTCAGATGGACACACCTACATACATACCTACATACACACACACCAACGAACAACGTAGGGAATTGCGTGGGGTGCAGGCGGACACGAAGCGTGCCGACGCACGCAACGGGAGGGGGCGGCCCGATCCCCCCGCGCTGGGCGCCGACACCGCCGGTGGGGCGGCGGCCGCGGGTGCTGCGGCGGCTGCGGGTGCTGCAGCGGCCGCGGGCGCCGCGGCAGATGCCGGCGCCGGCGCGGGGGATGGGTTCGCTCGCGTACCTGGCATCTCGAAAATTGACTTTCCTTGGTGTTTTCTCGTAATCAAGGTAGGGAGAAAAGATAATGATCACCCGTGTGCTTATATCAACATATTTCCAGGGCTGACGCCTTCCTCCATATGCCGTTCCGAATCTTGGATTCATCTGTATCCCAAGTATACTCGGGGTACAGAACCCGCACACATCACACAATATCTGGGGACTCGGCCGTTTTCTTGGGCCGAAATCAGTGGTTCAACATTGACCCGACCTTGACGTTTCTGAGCTGCCGGCGGCCCCGTCCTTCCCTTCCCTTCCGTCTCCTCCCCTCCCCTTTCCTTCCCCTTGCACAAATAGGACCGACCGAAGCTGGGCACCAAGAGGGAATAGAGTGCATCTCAGCCTCTATGATCCCCGATGTAATGCACGACTCAGACCTACCGCCGGTGTCTTCCTTCTCGCTGGAAAGGAATCTCACATACCCACACACACGCCGCACAGGCAGACCTCACGGAGCACAATTTAGTTGCCGCCTTCCGGCATGCCTTGATGCTTTTTCGGGGGGCCGTGGAGAACAAATGATACCCCGTACCATGTTTTCCATCACGTTTCTGAAAAAGTATGAGTCTATAACCCGGGGAGTTTCCTTAAGCCGAGTGTCTTTAAGGGCGCGGGGGAGATCGCAGTTTCTCCTTTGAAAAATGCAGGGAACGCCTGAATATCTCAGTTTTCCAAACTCTTAACTTCAGTACGAAACTATCATCGAAAATTAACCGTCCGCAGCGGTCGTTTGTGCTCAGTGTTAGTGCCTGAGGTTGTAGCCCTTGTGATACACTGCAGACTGGCGGTCCGCGATTGTCCAAATGATCCTTGTATCATCGAGATCGGTGAGCTACACGCAGGATTTGTGTTGTGCGGTCCGATTTTCAAACGCTTCAAGCACAGAGTAACGGCCAATCGACGCCTCTATGAGTGTGTGGGGCCGCGAACAGACGTGCAGCTCTTCCCTCACATGTCCTACTCATCGCCATAGTCGATTTGAATGCCTGGGGTCATGAATTGGTAGGCCTAGCCACAAGCAAAGGTGCTTGAAGCGTTTCAAAATCGGACCGCACAGCAGTTTCGACAATTCTGCTTGTAGCTCACCGATCTCGATGATAGAAGGGTCGTTTAGACAATCGCGGACGGCCAGTCTTCAGGGTATTACAAGGACTACAATCTCAAACACTAACAATGTACACAGGCGACTGCTGCGACGGTTAATTTGCGATGGCAGTTTTGTACTGGAGTTTAGACTTTGGAAAACTGAGATATTCAGGCGTTTCCTGGATGTTTAAAGAGGAGAAACTGCGATCCCCCCAGCGCCCTTAAAAGCGGTGACGACGGTATCTAGAAACAATACCGTCGTCAACTGTTACCTCTGGATCCAACGCACCACAGCTTCCGCGAACAGTAGGGTAGAAATACAGACGCGTTACAGCAGTATCACCTTTAAAGAATGACGCATCATGACCAACATTGAACCGCTTTAGTGGTCCACACGGGTCACGTTCGGTGTCTACTCGTCTACTTTGATGGGCTCGAAGTGTCAGTCAAATGACACCTCTTTCTCTCTTGACAGTTCGTCGAGCTCCTTCAATATCTCAAGACACGGTTCCCGTGCATGCACACAGCAGGTACGTAGCGTGGCGGGCACCGCACGCAATGTCAAGCGACGAGAGGTACGCCGTAAGCGACAAAGCTAGGCACCTAACCTCTCCCCTCCGCAACAGTACGATTTCAAAGGAGGACCCCTTCAGCCCTCCTCGCCGTTGATCTGAAACTGCCGGCGGCGTGGCGTAGCCCCTCTACCCCTTCGTGAGTTCTTATCTTGCAGCTGCCGCGTGTTGGGCTCTGTTTTCATCTGTGAGCACATTGTTACACCACAAAGGCGGGCTCTCGTTCTTAACACCACGTCGGAACTGAGCACGCACGTGTTCATATGGCCAAGTTCTTAGATTTTGAACTTTTCGAGGCTGCCTTTCTTAACTTCCACTACTCTACAGTAAGGGGGGGCAGAATAGGGGTTTGACTCTGGCACTTTTTCTCATGCAAATCTAACGAACAGAAGGAAAGCAACCTTCCCGCCTGAGGAACCTGGTAATTAATTAGTACAAAATATCAGTAGAGGACACCATCAAGGCGTCTTGCGTGCTGGCACGTTCAGGTTTGAAACTGGAGCTGAAATATCGAAGGTCGCGGCAGCCTCTGAAAACAGTCCGAAATCTGCGCCGGAACCAAGCGGCATCCATCATTTTTCACAGCCGTGCTCACCGCCACGGACTGTGGGTTATCAGCAGTAGCTGGTGGCATCAGCTACTGCTAGAAACCCACAGTTCAGAAGATTGGGGTCAGTGGCGGCAAGCACAAGAAGTAAAAGACAAGGAGGCGTGTGGAAGTAGACGCGTGAAATTTATGTTTTGAGACGCCTCTTCTGCCGCCCTGTGCGAGAATCAACGATTCCTGCGATGCCTTCCGACTGGCCTCTCGTGTGCCCTTTCTGGTGCTCTTGCGTTTTTTTTTTTATTTGTCAACTCTTCTGCCCCCTTTGTAGCAGTAGTCGCCGGAGATTTTGCCCTAAACTAATATGCAGACGGTTTCATCCTCGTTGCTCCAGCGAGAGAAGAACACACCCGGCCGGGCCTCCTCTCCTCGACCGACAGGTTTGCCATCGTTCAAAAAATGAAAGGCTACGGCAGTGCGGCCGAGGCCATCACCTACTACGAAGTACCAACAGGGTACAGCGGTAGTAGTCATGATCGGGATCATGAAGAACAAGACTGGCATTCCAGGTTCCAGGAAAGCCTTAAGCATATTGTGGTTGAATCTTTCAGTCCGGACTCAGGCAACACCATTTGGGGTGCTGTGGTGCTGTGGGGTTCACTTCTGAATGTCTTGTCTGCATACAGTACATACATTGTGAAAAATCAGAGGATCTCTGAGAGCCAGCAACAACGCTGAAACTATGTACTTTCAAGAGATGCAGCGGGGCAAGCTGCCCATTCTAAAACAACCCGTTGTCGTGGCTTCCTAGCTAGGAGGGGGTGGCACTTCATAGGCGTGATCTCAAAACCACCTGCTCTGTCGCACAAACCCTTGCGCTGCAGCGCGAACCTGGAGACAACGGGACGCACTGTATGCTGTCCGAAAAACTCGAGTATTATTCTACCATCATGGAGGTGATGACGTGGATGGCCGAACCGCAACCAGCAACGAGGGCGAGTTGCGTGCCACAACGTGATGCGGGGCTATACAGCAGTATACACACCTGACACTCAAACAAAGCACCGACACGCCCTCACCTGCACGGAGTAGCGCCAGAGCACTTCACTTTGCGAGCGACGCACAGGTCGCAGCTCTTCTTGTGACTGGGAGGAGGAGCCGTGGCGGCGGAAATGTTGGTGGTCATCCCCAGCCGCTTGCTTCCAGCAGCTTGCAGCATGAGCGCCCACAACCGAAGCGAAAAAGTTTGATCTCCACTAACTAATTAGCGCCAGCAAGGCTGGTGGAAGTATGTGCTCGGAGCGATGGATGGGGGCGTAGAGCGGGCAATGGGTGTGTAGTTCGTGTCGCTCTATAGCAGCAAGAAATTCAAATGGCACTCAATCTTGAACTTCTAGAAGCCATCTGGCATCCATGGGCTTCTTGTATTTGATCGCACAGATCGGGGGCACGCATCAGTCAAGATCCATGCGGGTACCTGTAGTAGTAGGATGGGGATGCATACGTCATGCGTGGTGAAGGGGCTGACGTCATCGATCGCGACATTGCGCCGGAATGGTGGCTAAAGAGAGCACAGCTGAATGGCGGCTAGGGCAGTCTCAAGAAAGTGTGGTCTGGCCTACATCAGTACTAAAAACAGCGCCCACGCATGTTCCGTCTGTTTGGTGTGGACCAGCGTGTGGACGAACAAAATGTAAACACAGAGCTGTGGGAGGATTTTGGGAGAAGAAGGAATAAAAAAGGACCGGACACAAGACCGGAACAATACCGGAGGGACAGCGTCAGCGCGACTGACACCCGACACCCGACAAACCCAACCCAACCAGACAGACAGACAGACAGACAGACAGACAGACAGACAGACAGACAGACAGGCAGACAGATGTCGAATTTCATTGCCCGACTTTCTAGACGAGAGCGGCGTTTAATAAGCTCTTGAAGCGCACTCCTTCCACGTGCGGTTGGGTCGCTCGCCCAATCAGAATGACGGGAACAGTCCCGGATCGTTCCGCGCCAAAAGCTTCCCAGGCTACCTGAGCTTGTGTGTCCAATCCTGCTGCTAAATAACAGCTGTGGCGTCGTTGCCCCAGGCGCTGGTTGGACGAGACCCTCAGATAAACGGCAAGGTGGATCCATCTGGACTGCTTCAATACATGACCAGGGTGGGGAGGGAACAGCAGCGACGTACGATGGAGGGAATGCACCGTCCAGCCCAGCCGGGGCACGCAGCAGCCGCGGCTGCACAGCAGTCGACCCAACTGTCAGCAACCTACAAGAGCTGCATGTTGTGTGCCAGAAGGAAGCGTGCCTGCGATAGCCGGAAACCTCGATGCAGGTACATTGCTATAGCCAATGCTTTACTGCATGGGGGGACATAGAGTCCAGCCTTTAGCTTCATGAACTTGGAGATGTCTACGGTTGTAGACTGGTACGCATACATTGTACCATGATGCCATCCTCTGAATTGACTCTTCCCCTATCGTTGGCTTCCGCAGACACCACCTGGTGTGCATACATATTTGGCTCTGCTGTGACGCTCCCGACGGAGTGAAATCGACCTCAGCCAACCGGCGGGAAAAGATGAAATTTGTCTCTGGTGGTACATACATACATACAAGCAGTAAAGTAGATTTACCGGCACACGCATGTTTTTGCTGAACTTCGAAGACCATGTAAATACTTACACTTCGTACAGTATGCCAAGCCAAGAACGAAGGAAAGGGCGTCGGGGATTTCGGCATGGTTTCAGTGCCTTGCATTTTACCGTACCCATTACCGGAGAGTGGTGAAGACTTGTTGTTTGTACCCCCGTGTCAACTCTCCGATCTTTCTAACGAGCCGTAAAACTCTCGCGTGCGTAGAATTGATGGGAAGTCGACAGCGACATGGTGCTCTGGACCGGGCCTGGGGCCAGGGATTTGGGGAGACGAGCTGTGACAACGTCCGATTGAAGGTCAAAAACTGGAAGACGCTAGGGAATCACCGTAAATATTCAGTTTGTCCTGTTTATCGCGTCTCTCTCTTTTGGAATATTCCACAGCAGTATAGGTGTCCAGTGATGGGACATTTAATTTGGCCAGGGCGGTTGTAGCACGGTGATACTCCGACGCCAAACAAAGCAGCCAGGGTGCTTCGCCTGTATCACGCCGCAGAGATTTGGGCAAAAACCTCGTGCGACTTCCGTCTGACATCCTTTCCCTGGTTTCAAGATAAACTGCACTCGTGTTGTGTCAGGGTACAAACAGGCGCATGGAATACTGGATATGCCCGCTTCCCGCTCCGCGCTTGCCCCTCTTTTGTTCTCGCTCATCAGTTAGTTGCCCGTCACAGGCACACACCTGCAAATATTTCGATTTAGTACCACAGCCGCCATCATTTTGTTTTTCTCTTCCGACCGTGCGGTCTGCTGTGGTCGATCCGCAGCCTAAAAATAACCGTGTTCCAACCCTACGTGAGGCATCCTTTCTCCGCGCCCGCGAACCTCCTCCCGTCTTTTGCGCTGTGGGCAGCTATTGCATCGAGAAGAAGCGGCCATACTGTTTCTACCGGCTCAAATCCGCGACGAAACCGGGAGCAGAAGGTCCACCCTCCCTATCTTCCACCTTCTCCGCTTCCTGGGGCGGTGTCAACACGGCCATGCGACCGGCCAACCCTCCCAGGGTTGCCTCGCATGGCGGTGTGGAGGTGCTAGCGACCGCTGCCGACATCTGGAGCATGCCGACGGTGCCAGAATATCCGTCTATCAAGAGGTGAATTTTGTTGCCACCGGTGTCGTAGGAGTCGTAGAGGTACGTTACTGAACTTCGGAGTATCATAAGATGATGCGTGGTAGACATGCCACCGACGCAGTTTCGCTTGGAAAGCACGCTTTCGAAACTGTTCGATTCCTAGTGTTTGAAACCGCCAGTGTTTGGTGCTTGATGGTGATACGGCATCTTGTTGAAGATGTCCCGTAGTGCACCAGTCGTCGTGGTGACGTCTCATGGACACTTGTATCCATCACGACCTTCTTTCGTTCCGACCGGCAACAGTTTTCGTAGTTTGACTCAAGTTTGTCTCACCGTCCTCTCTGTTGTTGCGTAAGCAGGTGCAGGCTGAGGGCGTCACCTGCTACGGGCCTTGTGGGCATGAAGGAGAGTGGCTTCCTGTGCGACTTCTTCGGGTGCTTCGGCATCCTTCCCCTCACGACCGAGAGGTTTGCCAAGCAAGCCTTTTTTCCCGCGTCGATTCAGATCATCTTACCGTGCCCCTTCACATTCTCCCTTTTGAGGATATTCGCAGAAGTACGCATGCGTAGCCCTCCTTCCCCGAAGTCGGTCTACGCCGGTCCGCCTATGGAGAGGTGCTCTCAACCGCCTACGCTTTCGGCAGAGCGACAACTTGTTGACCAAGCCAAAGTGGGTGACCTACCCCCCCACCCACCCCCGCGTTCCCGCCACACGCCAAAGACCTCGCGGTTCTTCGCGGTGCTTCGCGGTGCTTCGCGGTGCTTCGCGGTGCTTCGCGCTTGGTGATGTGAGAGCCTGGTCCGGTGAGACCCCGGCGTGCTCCGTACCGGCATTGTAGGGATGCGAGGTCAATGGTCTAACGACTACGGCATGCACGATTATGAGTACACCCCCCCCGCCGCGTTCCCGCTCGGACCGCATCTCTCGCAGCACTGTTCGCAACGCGATGGTGGAGATCATGATGGGAGCGGAACTGCCGCGGAAGAGGTACAACGAGGAGCACTTGGGCGTCCGGACTCGCTGGGCCGAGGACGAGGGTGAGGGCGAGGAGAAGGGGTGTAGCGGGGACCGGACGGTGGTTCGTCGTGGTACGCAACCGGACCATGCGGCCATGTGCATGATGTGGTGCGCCATCGCGCTGGGGGCGCTCATGAGGGGCGTTCCGGTAGAGCATGTGAGTCGCCACCACAGCACGAGCAGCCGACAGCCCAAACGGCAAGCTGCATTCCTGCCAGTGTCCCACACGTCCCCCCGTTTCTTTGCACTGCGTCGGGGGACGGGGTGTACTTTGTACTTCGTGCTGATATTTCGACCCAATTGTTGCTCCCTTTCGGGGTTGGTACTTTATAACACCGGCTATCGAGCGTTTTTCAGCTACTCTCTGCTGCACGGGATCTGATCAGCTGGGTATTGGACGGGTTGGGCTTGCGGCCGATTGAAAAGATTGGGTCGAAGTGCGGATCACACACTTGGTACAAGCGACGAGCTGTAAATGTTCGGACAGCCCAACGCTTCGCGAACGCGGACGCCAGGCTGGTCTCGAAAAATCAAACAAATGTCATGGAGAATCTGGATTATTCTGCGGCGTTGGAACTATCCAACCTGATGATTGCGGAGTGTCGTGCTATTGGAAGGGTACACATGACGTTTTTTCAACTGTCAGTTCGAAATAGGTTTCGTGGTCAACGTATTTAGTTGTTTTCTCTCGCGTATCATTATCGAATGATGCTCTCTTGCGAACCATTTCTCCAAAGGTGGAGATGTACGTCAACTTGGCGCGGGAGTCTCTGGCTGAGTGCTTTGACGGGAGAAGCATCGAACACGCCAGGTGATGAAGAAGGGTTGGTGAAGGCAAGGCGTTTATTGTCTTTGTTCCCGCTACTTCCAAAGGAATCGTGCAGACCATGATCGTGCAGGTGGTTGCACGCCCCCATAGACAGACTGTCATATGTAGTTCGATTGCTCCACAGCCGAGATGGAACCCCTGCCGACACTGTACGTTTCCTTCCACTTAGCTGTGGGTTTTCGCACCCGCTTGGGGGTGGAGCAATCAAGCCGGTCGCCCCGGTGGTCTAGGTCGTATCCTCGAAAACTTCTAGAGGTCAGGTCAGGGGTTCGAATCCCGGCGTTAGCGAGCTTTTCTTGCAAAGGGAGTTTTTCTCTCGCTTCCGCTCCTGGTCTAGTGGATAGCGCTAGTTCGTGTGTACACAGAGGGAAGAGAGTGCTGAACTCTTTTCGCATTAAAAATCGAAGGCAAAGTACCGCAGGAGGGGAGGGTAGAGAGGGGCTCTTCTGTGTGACCACGGGTTGGAGCAAACGGCACTGGTGCTGTGAGCGCTGATTTGAAGTGAAGACAAAAAAAAAAAAAAAACGGGCAAAGACAATCAGTCTGCGAGGAGGTTCTGTCACTCGCACAGTGGCGTTTGACATCTTCGTATCGTTGTCGTTGGGTGGTGCTGTTAGTGCTTGTGGAGTGTTGACAATGACGTCATTACATTTTGACTTCCCATTCCATAGTTCTTCTCCCCCCGCGTCCCCCGCGTCCCTCCCCTACTTTCCGTTTCTATCGTCCGAATTTTGGTCCTCAACTCGCCACTCATGCGCCGGTCTGCCGGTGGACACGACTTTCAGAGCCTACCTCACCATGTCCTTCTTGCATGGCATCCTCCTCGATGAGGCAAGTCGCATGCATCCCCGCTCAGCCAGCAGCTCTTTCTAATCCCCGAAACACATCGTATGCCACCAGCCGATACAATTTCGGCAAAATCCTTCATTTCGCTCGCAACGGTTGCTGGAGGCCCTCGATGATGTTGTCCAGTCCCCACGGACCCCCTCCTCGCCGCATTTGGCGCTTCCCACGGTAAGCGTTTGGTGTGGTAGTGATCGTTCTTAAATACAGATCTCGTCAAACGGTTGATCCCTCGATTGCATTGCCGCATTGCCCTAATTTCGGTCTTCGTTCTATCTCCTCTTGTTGGTTAATCGTTGCCGTGATCGTTCCCGATGAGCAGGACAAGAACGAGCGCTATCTGTCTTTCGCGATGAACATTGTATCCCAGCTTGGACCAGAGAAGGCGCCCAAGGTGACAAGCGCAAGGAGCGATGCCGTCGCGTCACAGTGCTCGGGGTGTGTGTTGTGGTGTCGAAGGGCTTGCTGTCGCATGGAATGCTCATGTTGCCAATGTTGGTGTTGCTGTAGTGTCACGCCACCTTTCGGTTGTTGGACGTCGAACACAACAGCCAGTGATGTTCATGGTGTCGCGTGTAAGCTTGGCTGCCCGCGGCGCATCCAGGGTTCTTTGGGTATCGGACGCCGAGACCCTCTTGCCCCGATTTGCTGCGCGCAGGAACTGGGGGCCATGCTTCTTACAACGGAGAAGATGAGGCTGTTCAAGAAGATGGGGTGTAGCCGGGTGCGGACGGACGACCTGACTGCTTACTGCAACAATGTCGTGGAGCTACCCCGAGTAAGTGACGAAGGAGTTCGATCCGAAAACGTGTGGATCAGGTGAACGGTTGGCCTCTACCCTGCAGCCCTTGTTGTTGTCTTTTGACTCTTGGTCGTACTTGGGTTCATGGGTATACGGGCTATGGATTTAGTTTTGTGGAAAGTTTGTGTTCCGGTTTTCGCGTGTGGATGCATGATCCCATCAGGCGCATTGACGTGCGTCATTGTGGGCCCATCTCGACCAGAGAATCCATGAAAATATTGGCCGTGTAGGCCCCATACAGTGTGTGAGCAGCTGCCCTTCCTGATTCATCGACCTGGCACGCACCCGATCCCACGGTTCGGTGGACGGTAGTCGCGGCTTCGGCACTTCTGTCTGGCTTTTTCGCTTGAATGGCCTCACCGAGCCATAATCAACCCGCCACTCCATTCTCTCCTCGTGTGCGGACGCGTGGTACTACACGAACGATCGCGACTTGCGCTGGCTGGTGCGGCAGGTGGAAAACGTCGTAATGAAGAACGATCTCTGCCACCTCCTCCTCGTGGCAGACCGCCGGCTCAACCAGGCATTTGTCGCGGACATGACTTCGTCGGGAACGTTGGCCGCGGTGAGAGGGGCTGCACAGCGGAAGGAGAACGAGGAACCTGTCCAGGGAGAGTCCCACCGAGAGTGGGGAGGCAGTGGGATGGTGGAGGAGAACGGCGAACGAGTGCGGGGTAAGGGAACGCGGGGGCCGGCTTCTGACGACAACGAGTTGGTCGACAGTTTGCACGATGAACCGGAAGTGCCCCCCTCGGGAGCCGCTATGAAACGCTTCGTCCAGGAGACTCTGCCAGAGATGACGCGATTAACGAAGACACTAGAAAGGTGGGCAGCACCGAGGGGCGACACGTGTCCGACAACCGCTGGAAGAGCTCATTTGGGATGCGACCGCCAGCAAGGGGGCCCTACATGCGGAACACATGGAACCCACGCACACACACCGGATTCAAACTGAAACGAAGAATAAGCGCATTGAACGGCCAAGCAATGCGGCTAGAAGCTGGAATCTTATTGTATATATGGTACGCTTGGATTCAAAAACCCAAATGACACAGGGTTGTGTGGGTTCAAGTATGACCATACTAAATCCTAAATGTCAGAGCAGCCTTGGTTCTACTTGTCACCTTCCACCAGAGAGGATTGATCTGTCGCCTTCCTCCTTTCTGCCCAACGCTGTATCGCGCTCGGTTTCCGCACCCTGACACACTGACTGCACCATCCGCGCTATTGTTCCTGTCTTGTCGGCGTGGGGTGCCTAGGTCGAACGTATGCTCCGGGGTCGGCGGTTTGTTCTATCACAGGTGAGCGACCGAGGGCCGTCTGCTGACACCTCGACGGATAGCGTTCAACACCTGCAAGAACATTTACTTCTGCTTGTGCACGCCGCATTTGAACAGCGGTCCCATGCCGCAGCTCCTGTTTTGGGCATCGGGCACGACCTCGTTTAGAGCTCATTTGTCAAGCTTGGATGAGCAGCTACTCCGTCCACCGGTGGGCACGAACGTTACAACGTCTCCGGAACAGGTACTTGACCATTGAATTATGCCCTGCCAGTTCATGTTTTTTCCATGTGCTCATGTGACCCATACCATCGTGCTCTGTGCATTCCCGCCACCCCTCCATAATGTTGCTCCCGCAGTAACGTGGCATACATGAAAACTGTCAACGGGGACGTTGAAGACTTGATCAAGTGTCTCCAGGCGTCCGCAGATATCGTGCTGCGCTACCCGGGCATCGTCCGGTTCAGGTGTGTGGGGTGGATGCCCCATTAGTCCCCCTGCATGTTGGGTCCCTGTCCCGAGCTTACGGGTCTGAAGCTTGCCGTTGGTAGCATTTTTGTGTTGTGTGTGTGAGGTTGAGCGATTTTGGTGATTCCGTGAAAACACAGCGTCGGGCCTTCGTTTTCGTATATTGTCCTTGCAGGAGATGTTGTACTCATCGGGTCGATGGCGTTCGGCCAGAGGAAACCTGTTTTTTCCCGTATACTTCTTGGTTGTGAAGCAATCGAGCTGTAACCGTCTGTCGAGGTCGGTTGCGATCACTCGACAATTGCTTGAAAATAGCATGTAGATCTTCGACGCTGACATACTTGAGTGCCGTCGAAGCCAATAAACCATGCAAGGAGAACCGTGCGGGTGGCCGAGAGTGTTGGACTGCACAGCGGCCTCAAATCGGATCGATTATCACTGGCGTCGTCGTCAACAATGTCGCCGCGACAAATCTGGGTAAGACCCAGTTTCAGTTTATCTAGACTCGAAAGCGCTGAACGGTTTCACGCGAGCTTCTGTACAGATATCGGGACCAAGGTGTAATTGCTCCCTCGCCTACGTTGTCTGTCGCATTGTATGGCTGCTCGCAGGCCCCACTTCATACACTGCACCCTAGCCGTGAGCCACTTTTCCAAACGGCGAGATATGTACGACGCCATGAACGGTGTGTACAACTCTATCCGCCCCCCCGGATGTTGGCGAGCTCCACCGTATGAAGAGTGGAGGACGATTACCCAGATCTGCGACAACATGTTCTGCAGGTCTGAATGGCCGTGTCATGCAGTTGTTGTCTGCTCATCATGCGCGTAGTGCTATACGTAAGGATCAGTTTGCTGTGACAGTCTGTGGCGAACGATCGTAGATTACAACGCCTGTCGTTCCTTGTTGCTTCTGATTTCGTGTGATTCTGTTGGAGGACTGGTACACTGCTTGTCTTGGGCCCGTACCCGCTCCGCGATGTGCAATGCGACCTACTGTTGTCCCCCAGCACGCATGGATTCACTTGTGCTCCCATCAAGTGCTTTCCCTACCCGTTTTCTTGCCTATTCTGTGTCCCCCTGTCGCGTCCGGCCATCTCGCTCGCCCGGATCCCCCCCCCCCCCTGGACGGAAGGTCCTTCGAGGCGGAGATTCACAAAGCACACCACGGCGAGGGACTAATGCAGACGAACGTCAGTGATAACGAAGATGTCACGTCTGGACCTGCGTCCGGCTCGATGAAGTCTCCCTGCATCGGAGCAGAACGTCAGAACGGTGGCTCACTGCCAGCGGAACTGTGCCAGCGGTTGCCAGTGTCGATGACGCCCACAGATGCTACCGCTGTGCCATCACCTCTGCCCGAACCGCGTCACGCCCCACCTAGCTTGTCAGAAGACGGCGTCAGGAATGGCGATACAGGTGCTGATGATGCTAGAGATAGGCGACGCCAACCTGTGGCGGAGACGGCCATGCTCATCCCCGAATCGGTGTTCTCTGCAGAGGCTGCAGAAGCGGGCGGTGTTCGTGCCGGCTGGTCAAGTGCAGCCGCCGGTCCTGGACAACAGTTCTGCTCGGAGGGAAACAATGGTGCTGGTGGTGCTGCGGCGGCGGCGGTGGCACGCAATCCCAAGGTAGGGCCCGAGGTTTGGGGAGGAGACATGGCCCTCGGGGGAAGTGAGATGGCCTTGACTGATGAGGACCTGCTGGATGCCGCGGCAGTGTTTGCGAGCGACGAGGGACTTCTGGAAATGGGACTGGTGTGAACGAGTAGCAGCGTCTTGGTTGGAGGGATGTTCGATGTTCTTTGGTTGGTAGTTCGTGCTGTTCGGTGTTGTTGGTTTGTGTTTCACACCTTTTTGTTTTTTCTGCGTAATTGACGAAGTATTCGGGGATATGAATATACTTTGACCACTCGATGGAAAAAATCACGCGGGCTGAAGAAGCGAGACATTCTTCTGGGACCAAAGTGGGGTCATAACCAGCTCTGACGTTTCGTTGGGGGATGCGCCGCTGCACGTCGACTGGGCACCGTTGAGGCAACAGCATGTCCTCACGTCGCGTACATCTCGTGCTTACCAGGCGGACAACAGTCGTTTCACACCCGCCCCCGATTTCCTGAGGGCTTCACTATTTAGCACACAACGTCCGTCAAGTGCAGTGTACGCGCTGGAAGGCAATCACGCACAGGAGGAGCTTGTGGTTCGAAAAGCCTCCGTGGGAGTTGTTGTCGGTTGTGATCTTTGGACGGGGCCACTCGTATACATAGCAGAGTCTCCATGAATGGGTTCCGTCTTCCACGCGACTACCCTCCGAACACATACGGGCGATGTTGATGAGGAAGCGACGATGTCCTGCCGATCAAAACGCCGGCTCATTCTAGTGGCAGCATCCGGAAATAATGGGCGCATTGAAAGCTAGGGGGACGACGGCACTACTGACGATGCCCTCTGTGACGGGTGCTTCAGCTCGACCGCCACAACGACAGCCCACGCGAGTTCTTTGTCCAGGGTGGCAGCCAGGAGTACAAAGTGCACTATACTGTTCGACTGCTTACCGGACACAAGACCGACCGGTGCAACAGCATGGGGTTCGACACATTCAGATTTTTTTCTACATCGCCTTATGAACGAGTGGGAAAGTAAAAAAAAACGTATTTCTACTCGAGTGCCAACCAACACCCCGACGAACGTCTGCATGTACGTCTGTCGTAAGGGAGACTCGTAAGGGAGAGTGGACTTGCGGGTGGTATCATATTGTGGTGTGAAGTGCTCTCATATTTTCTGCAATAGACAACCCTCGACATATTTTTTCACGAAACGTGTGGGAAAAGAGATGGGGTATGTATTGCAAGATCCCTGGAAGTGTTTTGCTCAAAATGCAATATTGATTCACAACACAGCTCGGTCTGGCGGGGAACTGTTGTCTTGAACCAAGGAATGGTTACTGCCACCTGACGCCGAATCTACCTCAAATTTACGTGTTTTCGCTCCATTGCAACCTTCGGATTTTGTGTCACTGCTGTGTGTAGGGTAGCGCCAACGAGAGTACAGCAGTAGCGGCCTGCAGTTCAATGTGGGTCTTGTTTTTCAGCGCTGCAGGATCTTGAGTTTCTCATGTATATTCCATTTCTTCATTCGGCGAAGAACACTACGAATTCATTGCAAACCTATCTGAGACTCTTTCCTAGATAGACATGGATTCGTTTGGTCATATTTAGAAAATAATATTCAAATAAATAAATTAATAAATGAATGAATCCTCGCCTCGACGAAGCAGAGGGAATCGCGTGAGGGGGGGTGTACTCATAGTCGTGCATGCCGTAGTCGTTAGACCATTGACCTCGCATCCATACAAAGCCGGGACGGAGCACGCCGGGTTCTCACCGGACCAGGCTCTCACATCACCAAGCGCGAAGCACCGTGAGGTATTCGGTGAGTCGCATGAAGGGTGCGCTGCATCCTGCTAAGGGTGTCGGGCATCTTGTGCTTACGTCCTTGAGTACAGATCACAGCTGCGTATGACTTAATTCATTGTCTGGTGCTTTCACTTCCAGAGACAGTTGGAAGCGCTGTGTAACTGCATCGAGGGTGCTTGACCAATTTAACACAACGTGCGATCATCCCCTTTGCGCGGAGTGAGGGTCGTCGACCCCGCACAACATGATCTACTCGACCACCATTCATGGTTACCGCAAAAAAAAAAAAAGACAAAAAAAAAAAGCGGTAACCTGGTTGCCGAGCTCACAAAGTGATGGGCTTGTTTTACAACATCGCTGCCAAGGGACGAAAACCCAACCCCGAGGGCACCCCCCGCAAGGGGGGGGGGGGGGGGCATCGGCAAGGTGGGAGCCCCTGAAGCGCCCACTGGGTTGTCCAACAGGACACAACCTCGGCAACCCCTCTGGCAGAAAAAAGGTTTGGCAAACTCGTTTCCTGCGATGTGATTGTCAGGCCTAGTCGTCAGGGGGGCATTGCCAGGCTCGTTCGCGAACGTGTGATTGGTAAGGAAAGTTCGCGAAAGTGGGATTGCCAAACTCGTTCGCAAACAGAGGGGTTGTAGTAGTGTTTTAGCTATGGGAGACTATCCAGCACGGGTCCCTCTCTTTCTATTGCGGAGAAGCTGGATCTCGGGTACACCGGTGGTGTCTAGTTAACGTAAGGTTGCGATTCTTCGCGCCCCCGTGCGCTCATTTTATACATACCTTCGCCGTTTGATCTTGATCGCACAGGGGTGCGATGACTCCGCACCGTGCTGTGACTCCATGGACTCTGTCCGGAAATCGAATGAAATAACTAGATTGTGATATTTTACTCCCGTATGTACAACTACGGTCCTGAGAAAACCCTAAGGCTATACGTTGACTCTTGCGAACGCCAAGGTGTGACAATTCCGGCATACCATTGGAAATGCCTACGGTTTTCATGCCTTCATGCCTCCACATGTTGTTTGAGATGACGCGATATACAGCGGAGCCAACATGCCAGCTTACAGGGGTAAAAGTTGCTCTGTTATCGTTGCCATTCAACTACCGTAGGTTGCGAGTCATCGCAACCCTGTGCGATGACTGCGGACCTTGTACGAAAATCAAATAACTCACGTAGCTATTTGATTTTTTTGCGCACGGGGTTGCGCTGACTCCGGACTGTACGATAACTCCGGACCGTGTGACGAATCGCAACCTCACGGAGTGTTTTAACTACAACCCACTCCCTACCTGCCATTGTACGTGCAAGCATTGGTCCTCCCCAATATCCTGCTTTTCTCCACCCATACCGATGTGTGAACGAAAAAAAACAATTTTCCGGCGAACAACATAGTCCCAGGTCCAACAGGCAGGGCAACGTATGAAAAATCACTTCGGGCAACGCGCCGCCCTCGATTCCGACACACGAACGATTCACGTATGCACTACATAGAGAAAGAGATGTTTGGTGGGGTGCCGATAGCAACGTTTTGTACCGTGGAATCAGATCGTATTGTGCCTTCCGCATTTTCGAACATCTCCCTTACCATGCCGGGGGGAGGTTATCTAAAGCCTTTTTATTGCGGTAGCTTGGAGTAAACCCATTCTGATACCAAGCCAGGAAACATCGCGATTCCTTGACACTACGAGTAGGAGTACACGCTCATGGCGTAGAACCCTCCGCACACTTGATCGGAGTCACCAGGGCACTCGTAGTTGCAGGCACTTGACTCTCCGTGCTCCAACAGGTCGGTTGAACTCCCACCGCAGAAGCACTGTTGGAGTAGAGTCATGGCCGACGGACAAGGAATGGCGCAATATGAAAAGCAACAATGTCGGAGCTGTCAGTTGCTACATACCAGCACTGTTCATTTCAATCGTTGCTTGTTGTGTTATCCCCGGGGACGACGTTTGCTGTGTGTCTCTCGTAACTACATAGACTCTAGGAGTGATACATTTTGTGGTGTTAGATGATACATCTGAACAGAGTCATTTTGGGAACCAGCGTACATGAGGGAGATCGGAAAGTGGAGGACAGCGACCGGCGGTAGCCGGATGGTTACTGGTTTGCTCAGTGAGGAGAACATCGCAAGCTTACGCTCTTTGGTTATGGACACGGGGAGTTTTGAATTTTAGACCTCAGCTTACCAAACCACACGACATAAACTTTCGTCAAGATCTGTGGGAAAATCAACTTGATTCTTGGCATGGTTGTATCACAAGGAACCGCCTCTCACCTCCCTGCCGTACTGCAACCCGAAGTACGTGTTTCCCCTGCACTTCGCCTCACACATCTGCAACGTCCACCGATATCGAAGACGTCACACCAGAGGGGATAGCAGAAAATGTTATGGGCATTGAAAAATATGTTCTAACGGCTAAGAATGTAACTTCAACAGTTCGATACAAAACCTTGAGGACGCTTCGCTTCATGTGGTGTGAACGTGAGATCACTGGTGTTCTGTCTGCAAATAGCTTAGACACAAGTTTGTTATTCAACATGCTTGTCGCGCTTTTCGGTCTAGACGATAGAAATGTTGAAAAGTATTGGGTGTGGTGTGTTTTTGTTTGGGTATATTATCATTTTCAGTTTTGGGGACGCGATACTGAAACGGCGTTGACATTGCTCCTCAATGAGTTAGGCGTGTGCTTCGACTGAGCGGTCAGCATGCTAGGCACATCAGGAGGAGTGACCGCGACGTATCTTAGCATTGGGCACAACAAGAGAGTTTATTTAGCATGTGCTAGAATAACAGATCAGAATATGACCGACACCCCCCCCGCACCTCCATGGACATGGAAGAACTGTCCGTCAGCGCGAGTTCCATGATGCGGGAGCCCGATTCGTCTTGATAGCACCCGACGAACGCTGAAATCGCAGTGCTCTCATCCGTGTAGCTGTAGACGTTGGCGGCGTCGAAACCGCCGCATGTTTGGTCAGCGTCCCCTGCGCAGGCGTAGGTACAGTCGGTGGACTCCCCGTGCAAAGCGTAGTCCATATCAGCCGAACCGCACCAGCACTGTGTGCGTTTGGTTCAGGTAGAGGCAACACAGACGGGCGGGCAGACAGACAGATAGACAGGGCGTGACATTTGGTGGGGGCGAGGAAAGCTCGGCCTATATTCAGTCATATATGTAGAACAGTATCCTGCAGTAATCCTCCGTAGGCAGTTATTAAGATTCACAAATAGTATTCGAGGCGTTCGGTTTAGGAAAGATCGCAACTATGTACGCATGTTCGGTAGGCTTGCTTCAAAACTGGCAGTGAATATGACGTACCTGAACGATTCTCACCCCGATCACTTTGTCGGCACCTCTACTATATGCACAACGCTGAACAAATACCACTATCGCTACGGTGGAAATAGAAAATATAGCGGAACGCAACCCAACAAAAAGGGTCCCCACATAGATAGCGCGATCGCGAAACATGGTTCAAGCTGGCCACGCGTATGGTCGAAATGACCGAGCGAATGGCCATTAACGCTACTGCCATCTATCTGAACTCACCTCCCGCCCGTACTGTGTGGCGAAGTAGGTGCTTCCGAGGCAGGTTAGCTCGCACAGCTGCCATCAGGACCACGAATCGAGGAAAACGGCAGCGAGGAGAGACGAACAGCACACACCATACCGAACTTGCTTTTCAACAGGATGAAGAGATCACAATGGCCGGGTAATAATAAACTTGGCGGCACCCGGACAGGTTTCGAGGACATATGTTTGAAGTGTATCAAACGAAACATATTCGGTATACGTTTATGCAGAGCACAGACGTGGACGGAGACCGTTCTTCCGTTGCCCATCCAGTTCGTGAGTTGCAACCTTAAGCTTCCTACAACAAGAGGTACAGCGCACACCACATCGATTTATCTGCCCCCCCCCCCATGCGGGGTATTGATGAGTGCATGCCGTAGGGTGACCGAGATATGGCCAACAACGGCAAGGGTACATGGACGAGCCGATGGGTGTGAACTTACCGTATCAGCAACAATGGTGCAACCACATGTTTGAGGTAGTCTTCAGGGAACCCATCCCAACCATGCCATATTGTGAGGATAGGCCTCAGAACCATGTACTGCGCCTGTTGATAAGGGGCAAAATTGATAGGCGCACCTGCAGGTGTTGTCCACCCCCCAACGACCCAAACAAAATTTCGTTCACGGAGGGAGTGGAAATACATCGATCCTTACACTTTTAGTCACCTCGGTTGTCATGGAGTAGTCAGAAAGAGCGAGATCGTCCATGATACGGTCTTCGCGGTCGTCCCCGTAGCATCCAAGTGCAAGAGGGCCTTAGGGAAAACGTAGCATTGTCATGACATGAAAGTGGCGGGTCAAATACAACTCCGTTCCTCGTATGTACGTGCTCGCATTTTCCGCACAATAACCGAAAGTCCTGGAAAGCTTTCCGACGGCTTGATCGGAGTTTTGGAATCTCGTTGTTCATATCACGCAACCGGGGACTTTAAATCTCTCACAGTATACCTAGGAGTGAGAGGCGCTTCGAATGAATGCGAGAATACGCGTTCCGACACATTGTCGACAAGGGCTGCCGTCTTGCCGCAATCATCAATGGTCAGAACATCAGAAGAAAGGTGAACGACGACTAATCATAGCCTATTGTACCAAATTGTCTTCCTCATGTTTGATTCTGGCTGGCATAACCATAAAGCTAACGTAACCATCAAGCTTTGAGATAAATATTCCTAGGAATGTGGCAGGGCGACATGAAGCCAGAAATAGTGCAGAAAATTGGAGTCAGTTTTGCAAGCGATTTGTTTTTTCGACATGTCAAGCCGAATTTGATTTCTGGTTTGCCTTGAGGCTGCCGTCAACTACGAGAACGATAGAGGGATCGAATCTGCACGCACACCAAAGAATCACGATGCACGTGTAGCGTTTTGGCAAGGACGCTAGAATATTTACAACATTGATCCGGCAGCACAATGTAAACAGCGTTCGATTGCACATGGTCCCAATATCCACCCGCGCGGTTTTACTTTAGGCGCAAACTTGTGGTCAATCTATCAGACGCAAACAGGAGAAGAGTGGATGCCTGCGTCTCTGCGACGGCAAGGAACCAAATGGGACTTCGGGGATTAGTGTGGAGACGTTCGGGTCGGCCCGACTCCACACACACACTTCGGCAACGCCCTGCCTCCTCCCATGCGTTCACACCCGCCTCCCACAACACTCACCACACCTCTAACAGCAGCTTCTGCATCAGCACTCCTACCACCCACAAACTTGGTGGCGATTGCGCACAGCTTCTATTTCGGCAATGTATGATACCGGTATGTCCATGATGAATACATGTAATATGTGGCGGACGACGACACACCACCTGCGACTTCGCAAGCGAGACAGGCGCCGCACTTACTTACCGTGCCCGCAACAACGTGGCTGTCGATGAGAGGAACCGCGTCTACCAACACAGACTCCATCAAAACCAACAGACGGGTGACCCGCACACACACGTAGCAGTGCTTCTGGAAACAACGAGCGTCGAACCCGATGTATTTGCAGCAAACAGGAATCGTCCTCACGGCATATGGCGGACACAGAGGGAGCTATCCCCACCACACAGCATCGCGCTGGAGGTAGGAGATGTATTGCGTCTACACAGCACCAATACTCGACGACGTGAAGCCCTCTCGTGCGTTCGGTATTTGTCTTTTTCTGTCTGTGTCTGTGTTCTGTGGTGACGACGAGCAATGTCAAACTAAAACATGTTGGTCACCATTTCCGACTCATATTTGTGCTCCGTGCCTTTTTGCTTTTTTCGTCAGACCAACACCGAGTCTCCCTCTTCGTGTTGACTTATGCCCTCACATCGTATTCACTTGATGCAAGGGTTGACCTTACCCTGCCACATTGCTTCGAAGTTTGTAGAATGTTACGATTTCATTCTTTTTCGACGTGCATCGTTGCCTACTTTACGAAGCATCATTCACCAGGTGCAGCCGCTTTGGCACAGGTTTCACCGTTTATTCGGCTGCCTTGGAGCCACCATGACCAACGAGTCAGCATCGCGTGTTGGAATACTCAATGTCAGTCATTAGCGTTTGCACTGCTATAAACACCAGTAAGTAGGTATTCACCTAAGGAGAATTACCGGAATAGTCTTCGGTATGTTGATTCAGTAATCGGATCATTGTACACACCTACGGGTTATACATTGAGCCATAGAAGTATGGTGCATCGGACCATTGTCCTATAGGATATTCTAGTAACGTTGCCATAGGTCGGATTGACCGTCTACTGCCGTGATCGGTACGTTGCAATAGCCCGTGTGTGTTTCCTTTCCGTGATGACGGTGGATGGCTCGCTCCCGTGGTGCTCGCCCCCACTCGCTCACTTCTTCTTCTTCTTCTTCTTCTTCTTCTTCTTCTTCTTCTTCTTCTTCTTCTTCTTCTTCTTCTTCTTCTTCTTCTTCTTCTTCTTCTTTCTCTCTTCTGACCTTTCGGCCAACTAAGCGCCAATACAACTATATCATCCGGTCTACAACTCAAGCGTACTTTACAGTCACTCTGTGAGCCTCTGCACACTGTTACTACACAGTGGCCATTGCCAGGGATACACCTATCACAAAGGTTACATCCCAACATCGCGCACAACAATTTGTTCGGCCGATTGCAGTGTGGCGCGCATTTGGCTCTTTCCCTCTTCCGCGGTGCGATTCGGGCCCCGTCACCTATTGAGGGCGGTGGGGCCGTTCATTGCCCTACTGTCGTAAAATACACAGAAATGTGTCGACTCTGGCGCCCAGAATAGATGGGATGACAACTTAGCGTCTCCTGGCATTATTGTGGTTATCTCTCCTCGTTGTTCCAACTTCACAAAGCGCAAACTCGTGACTGTGAAAGAACAGCGTCGGTAGGAGCTCTGCAGACAAAAGGATCCAAATTGCTTTCTAAACATCAGGCGCACACGAAAGATGTGAGTACTGCCCGACACCGCGGCCTGCCAAGTCTACTGTAAACAATACAACCATTATCATGTCTCACCATCCACGGTCGGAGCAGGAGTGGGGGCAGGGGTGGCGTCGGTGACAGGAGCTGGGGTGGCCGGTGTTGGCGTGGTCGGACTAGGAGTGGCTGGCAGGACAGGACAAGGAGGAATATGAGACACGGGCATGCCCAGGTCAGGTGGCAAAACCGCCGTAGATTTCAATCTTGCATTTCAAACTTTCCGCCTTCAGAATACACGCACAGACGGTGAATTTTGTACGGCTCAAACACAAAACTGTACAGAATTGCGGTGAGGCACGAGTTATTCCTTACAATGGCGATGCTTGAGTTGGCATAATCTCTTCAACCGTACTCACGACAGTCCGAATCATGGATGAAAGGATCTTCAGAGCCGGAGAGGTCGATGGTGTTTTGCTCGTCGTCGATGTAGGAAAGCTGGACGAAGTTGTCGCTCCACGTGTAGGAGGTTTCGCAGTTGTCAAGATACAAATACAATTGCCAGAAATAGTAGCCCCCTCCATAGGTGGAGTAGTATGGATCAAGATCAGCCTCGCCTATTTCGAAGGTGAAGCTCGATTGATCATTTGATACGTTCCCGGACATCGAGGTGGAGTCAGTGCCATAGGCATAACCACTCGTCGCGATAGGTCCCGTGAAATCGACTGTCACGATCGGGTTCGACGCAGCGCACTGCACAGGTCGATGCCATACACCAAGCGACGGGCAGCGACAGGAACGGAAGTTTTCGAGTCGGGCATCACGCAACGCCAGGCGAAAGGGGGAAATGAACGTACCCGGATGTATCCAGCGGATGCATATGTTGGGCGATGCGTGTTCTAGCGAGGAAAACCCTCAAATTTCTCTAGGTGCCCTCGGCGAGTTCATATACATTGAATATTGCGTAGCATATACAGGATATCTCTAACACCACCGGTTCCACCCACAATAGATGTCTGAGATAATAGTACGGAACCACTCACGTTGGTCTCCCGACGGATACGGAACCGAAGTTCCGCTCGATCACACGATGTTGGAACATCTTCGGAGTGTGATCCACACGGGTACCACCACGCGTAGGGCGCACTTATACACTGGCTGGACACATGGCCCATGGACAGGAGAGCCAACACGATGATGAGAGGCTCGATCGGCCGCGTAAACATCTTGTTTTCTGTGTACACACCGACCTGTTGGCGTCACAAGAGCAATCCAGAATAGAATGGAAAGAGATAGATTTGATGGATGGGAGATTGTTGGGCATGAATATCCACCCCCACCGCCACGCAAACACACCGATCGTGTAGAGAGAGCAGAACATCGTTTGGGGGACCGTTCGTTTGGTGGAACATCGTTGGTTGGGTGGAAATCTTTCAAGTCAGCGACCTCGGTGCCTGCCAACTCTCGTACGCGCTAATGACTCGCAAACATTGATAACCACTGCTGTTTAACATGATACCGCTGCAGTGTGTGTGCGTGTATTTTGGTCCTAGGTGTTATGGCGACAGTGCCCCCATTTTTCGTGGTGAGACGAGTACTACACTTTTCAGTGTATTTTCTCGTACAACCACAACCATTCAGGCTGTGAGTCTTACGGTGTGATTATTTCAGAGATTTTTTTTTCTCTCGGCGGGAGGGGGGGTGGCCTGCACCGAAAATCCAGATCCAAACGACCGTCTTTCGGTTCCTCGAGGTATGTTTTTTTCTGAAGGGCAAAAAGAGGCTGATTCATGTTCTTGTGAGTCACAACATGCTTCAGTACACGGTTTTGGCTCGTGTTCAACCAACAAGACACCGAGCGCCCTGTTCATGGGTCGCCTGCAGAGGGCATATGTATCATCGCACGCCAGTGGCTGCAGTTTGTGGATGTCGTCGGCCAAAGGCCTCTCTCTGATGGCATGCGTTGTACACTGATCACACTCGACTCGGAGCAAGCGGCAGAAAAAAAAAGCAACGTCCAAAAAAGGCAACACCGAACCACACCTCGATTCACGTTTGCAGGCCGTGCGCGATTAAAACTGGACAATACGCTCTGTTTCTGGGGCGCGAGCAGAGGGTACGTGTATGACCACACGCCACTGGCTGCTGTTTGTGGATGTCGTCGGCCAAAGGCCTCTCTCTGGCATGCGTTTTTGACTGGTCGCGGGTGACACACGGAGCAAACACGCGGCGGAATAAGAAAAAAGACAAAAAAAATCAACACCGCAACACACTTTGGTTCACGTTTGCAGGCCGTGTGCAATCAAAACTGGACAACATGCCCTGTTTCTGGGACGCGAGCAGAGGGTATGAGCATGAACACACGCCATTGGCTGCAGATGTGGATGTCGACGGCTTAAGGCCTCTCTCTGGCATGCGTTTTGAACTGGTCAAACATGCAGCAGGCGCAAAAACGGCTCTTTTCGGCCCAAAGGCAAGAACGTCAGCAGAGCAATGTGGCAGGGTTGACGTTTTCGGCTCGTGTGCGGCCAACACGACGCAGAACGTCCTGAATTTTAGATACCTGCAGAGGTTTTGTGCATGACATCATGATACTGGCCTCTGTTTGGCCAGCAGATGGTGTAGTTCCCCGTTCTGGCACGATCGGGGTGTGACCAGGGGGTA